AGTTCGTCAAATGCGCACTTTATCACTCTGCTAATGATAGGATCCTGGAACTCATCACTTTATAGATACAGTAACTACATATTAGTCTATTCACTTTAGACAGCACCATTTAGTGAAGTGAAACTAATGATGAAGACTACAGACGGCCATCAGATAAGTAAGAACTTCATATCACGGGTTTATAACTTCTAATACAAAAAAAAATAGTATGTTCTTATTCTTTCAATCAGTTTTGAACTGGCTTCCAAAATGAGAAGATGCTCAATTTCGTCAGTATATTTGTATAAAAGTAAACAGTTTAATTCGTTTACAGTTGTGCCATATCTGCGTAAGCACCGATAAATTTATTTAAAAAAACAAAATTCTTCATGTGGTAACAGATAACTCAAGTGACTACTACACTACCAAACATAAATGTTACACGATTGGACAGTATGAAAATTTTAAAGTACCTATTTAATTTGCCAATGTATAATTATTTAAATTGTACTAATCGATAGGTAACAAAAATCAGGTGATGCAATATTTCCACATTTCCTTTTTCGTATACTCTTATGGTAAGTTTTAAACAGGTAGTTTTAGGGGACATCATCATCATCATCATCAGCCTATTAATGTCCCCACTGCTGGGGCACAGGCCTTCCCTATGGATGGAATAGGGAGATTGGGCCATGACCCTCCACGCGGGCCCAGTGCGGATTGGTGGGTGCTAACGACTGCAGATGCAGCCGGGACCAACGGCTTAACGTGCTTTCCGAAGCACGGTCCTCGGTGGAGGACCACGGAGGCTCCACGGAGCTCCTGCTTGAGGTAGTAATTTTTGGTCACCCATCCAATGACTGACCACTGCGAAAGTTGCTTAAGTTCAACGATCGCAGCCGAACGCGCTAATCATTTGCGCCATCGAGCTCCTCTATAGGGGACATAACCCTGCCCATTTAGCCGAGTCCTCACATAATTATCCTAAGTAGCGAAAAAGGTGCTACATACGAGTAAGTAATCACGACTTCCCAGGCCTTAAAATACCCGATAGTCGCACAAGGAAAAGTTGACTTTCCCAGACTTTAAAAAAAGAACCGAGTGGTGCAAAAAACAGTCGACTTTCCCAGACTTTAAAGAAAATACCGGAGAGGCACAAAAGGAAAAGTCCGACTTTCCCAGGCTTTAAAAAAGAACCGGAGAGGCGCACAAGGAAAATTCCCGCGTGTAGGGACGGCTTCAATGCCAATTACACCGAAAAACCTCTTTATTTTTCAGAAAACTATCGTGTAAGTTATCAAATGAAAAGGCTTCGTGAGCGGATTCTTGAAACGAATATACTACACCATAACTTGTTTTACCAACAAACATAGTTTGGACTCATACATGTAGGAAACGGATAAGTAAATTTTTATAACTTAAGTTACTCATATGAAACCTCAAAAAAGCAATTTTAAAAATAATATTTTCTATTTATATTGTTTTTCTAGATTAAAAAGTTTGAGATTTAGAAAAAGGTGAATTTTAAGAACTACCGGTAAAAATGATTGTTATAACCTAGAGTACCTGTGTACCAGATGGCAGTCCTGTACATACCTACATCAATTTACGGTTTATTTTTTATCGTAGCTGGACCACTAATAACCTCGTTGCCTTACCCAGCAGTGGGGTATATATAGGTAAACCGCATTCGCATACCGATCCGATTCATGTCTTTAGATAAAAAAATGATCGCAGCCAGAGGTCATCAGTTGTTTTATAAATATTGGATATTTAGCAACGATATTAAAATCATTGATATTTAGCCATAACATTATGTACACATTGAAAAACAAAATATGAAAAAGTTTGATAACAGTATTATCTTATTTTTTACAAAGTTCCCGGACATTCATCTTTTATTTATACATACTTATTTATTTATAGGTTCTTGTATTTGTGTATTTTATGTAACCACACACTTTATACCTTTATCAGACTAAAAGAACTGTAGTTTGTTAGCGTAGGCGACATAAATGGACAATGAATCGAGTCACTTTCTCCCGTGTCAGAACTTATATAATATGCGGCTTGGCGGGCGGACCGGTTCATATAGCCTTTTTGGACTTGTTATACAATAGTTCAATTTAAATGTTTACCAACACTATGAATCCTAATATCGTTAGAAGTAACATTTAATTACACAGTCAGGTCATAAGTAAGTATTGTCACACAGTAAAAACTTTTCTTTTACAATGCTGGTCACAAAAAATTGTTCATGAAAATAAAAATGTATACTTTTTAGAATTTTACTCATTTTTAAATAAGGAGTGGACGCTTAAAGAATACCGTATTGCAGTTATTGCGTTGCATCGTTGCGGTTACGCGCCAATTCAAATTTTTGACATACTGAAAAATTTGAATAAAACCAAAAGATTCGTGTATCGTACCATCAAACGATCCAATGAAGACTAGTGTAGATGACAGATCAAGAAGCGGTCGCCCTTGGTCTGTTAGGACTCCAGCAGTGATAAAAGCTGTGAAGGCGCGAATTTTAAGAAATCCCAAACGTAAGCAGAAACCGTTGGCCCTTCAGATGGGGTTAAGCAGAACCACGCCGGTGAAATGTATGTTAAATGAAGACTTAGGGCTTCGGGCATATCGAAGAAAAACAAGACATCGTTTGAATGCTCGTCTAATGGACCTGAGACTGAAGAGATGCCGCTCTTTGTTGAAGTGGTACGCGGGAAAAAAACATCGGGAAATTCTTTTTTCGGATGAAAAATTTTTTACCGTAGAAGAGAGCTACAACAAACCAAATGATAAGGTGTACGCACACAGTAGTGAAGAAGCGTGTCCAACGAGGTCATTTTCCATCCTCGCTCATGGTATGGTTATGAGTTTCTTATTGGGGCTTAATAGAGGTACATTTTTGTGAGAAAAAAAAAACGAATGCAGTTGTGTATCAAATACAGTCCTGACGAACCTTGTGGAACCTGTTTCTCATACCATATTCAATAACAGGCACTGGGTATTCCAACAAGATTCGGCGCCAGCTCATAGAGCGAAGAGCACACAAGACTGGCAGGCTGCACGTGAAATCAACTTCATCCGGCACGAAGACTGGCCCTCTTCCAGCCCAGATTTGAGTCCGTTAGATTACAAGATATGGCAACACTTGGAGGAAAAGTCGTGCTGAAAGCGTCATCCCAATTTGGAGTCACTCAAGACATCCTTGATTAAGGTAGCCGCCGATATTGACATGGACCTCGTTCCTGCTGCGATAGACGACTGGCCGCGCAGATTGAAGGCCTGTATTCAAATTCACGGAGGTCATTTTTAATAAACTTTATCGTCATAAGAATCTATGTTTTTTTTAAGTTCATTTCAGTATATAAATGGTTACATAATGAATAAACTTGTTTCAATTATTTTATATTAAAGATGTGACAGAATTTATGACCTGACTAGGTAAATTCAATCAAATAGTCAAAGGAGTTTGTTATGTGTGTTTGGGTGCGTATGTGTATGTGTATGTGTGTGTTGTGGTGTGTGTGTGTGTGTGTGTGTGTGTGTGTGTGTGTGTGTGTGTGTATCATGTTCATCTTATTATTTTAAATATTTTTTCTGTATTTTTATAATCTAGCGTTTTTAAACTTTTTTGGAGTGCAGTTATAAGATTATTTCTATTTAGTTTAATAATATTGTTTAAATCATTGTAATATCTATATACAAATGGAGTTGAGAAGTGTATTTTTGTCCCCTAGCAAACACTGTTTTAGAAATTGGGACAGGAGTACGAATGCGTCTTTTATTTAGGGGTAGCTGCGTAGGATCTAGGGTTTTATGGTAGCGAAGAACTGAGTTGTATATAAACAGACTGCCGAACAGTGAGAAGCTCAGCTTCCTCGTAGAGCTGTCTACTTAGATATCTTCTAGGCTTACAGAACATAACTTTGATCACGGCTCTTTGAGCCCTTTCCGATTTCAGGGAAAAGAGGCAGCTGCTCCACCCCACACCGTAACACAGTATGACATAAAAGATTGGCAGAGGGCAAAATAAATACCTACCTTTAATAAAAAAAAGTGTTTATACAACCGTTCCATGTTGGTTTTTTACGATAAACCGACGGAGAGGCGTGATTTCATCCAGCTATCAGACTTATCACGGTGACCTTTCACAATCAATGACCCAACGGCTACTTGACCTTTTTCTTTATAAAAAAGCATACGATTGTTTGTACGTTTATATTGAGCTCTGAGAACTTTGACTGATTGATTAGGCAGATGTGGTCTTGTAGAGATTTCGAACGCAAATTTTAGTACTAGAGCCACTCGAAGTTGCGTCACGCAGGTTTGGGATAAGCAGGAGTGTAGGTTTTGATTGTACCAGCAGTGGCGGCGCTAGGCGTCGGCGACGTCGGCCACCGCCGAAGGCCTCGCGCCTGAGGGAGCCTCGCAAAAAATTTTTACAAGTTACCTATTTATTTTCGTTTCTCCTGGCCTGGCTTAGGTAGCCGAGCCCGAACAATTCGGGGAAAAAGCTAAGCAGATGATAATGACTTTTATTATTTTCTAACACATGCGTGATGGAAGCGAGTAGTACTTTACGGGTATTCAGAATCGTCTGTCTGGCAACACTATTTTTGTAATTAAATTTCTATGTTTGTCATTACTTTTTGTCATCATTTGATTATCAACAATAAAACTCGTTTACTCATACGTTATTTTATAATTTGGCTGACTTAATTTAACGGTTTTTTATTGCGAAGTAAAATAGGCCTCGTGAACTTGATGTCGCCGACGTCCACATGTGGTCTAGCGCCGCCACTGTGTACCAGTAACAAGAGGACATACCAAGATAAACGATAAAAAATAGTGAAATAAAATTTAAAATATTCTGTTTCCATGGACTAATATAATAATATTAGGTATATCTTATTATATTGTTACAGAATAAGATTATTTATATACAGCTATTTTAGTATTTTGTCATGTTTGTTTTATTTTGAGACCAAAATTGTTAGAAACAATGCCTGTTCTCATTTCTAAAATTTTTTAACAAAAGGTAACAATGAGAATAATTAAAGGATTTCTAAAGTATAATATAATCTACACTACCAAGCATCAACACTTTTGCGGGAAGTGGAATTGTATTTTACATCAAGTATAATTTATTAATCAAGAATAATCCTTCTGAAAATATATTTTTCATTACTTTTCTTTGAATACCTATCGCCCATCAGATAAAAGTGCATCAAAAAATATTAAAAATATTGAACGGGAACTCTCATAAAACATGGTACATGGTAGCAATCCCGCTAGTAACTATAATGTTAGTGACCATGAAAGTTTCACACAATATATCTACAGGTTCGAATTATGATAGAGACATTAACATAATGTTCTCACGTGTCCCAGATAGTATTAGTTTTTAAGTTTGCTTGAAGTTGTGGTTGTCTACCATATTACTTTCTTCGAATAATATTAGTATAAGGACCACATGACACTGCTATAATTGAAACTTTAACTGAATTCTCTAAGTATAGCAGGCAAACTGGCAAACCTCTCACTATAGGTACTATTTTGGAATATTGAAAAATAAAAATAGGACACATTCTATTTGTACTGCTTGTCGAGCCACTCAAGTCGTAAAAGTCTGCTGAGGAAGTTAGTTTTATGTTACCGTTTATGTACACGGCGGCAAATAAATATGTCACTTTTTGGGAAGCCACTGAGTGACGTTGAGATGGACCAATCGTTTCACGATATTCTCTGATTTGCTTGCTTCAAAAAAACTTTAAAACTGAGTCTTTTTTAATTCGTGAGCTGTTGATCTTAGAGGTATATTGTTAAATACATTGGACAGCAAAGAAATCGGGTCACTTGCTGCCTCGGAAGACTGATATGATTTTTTTCAAAAAGTATAAAACTTAAAGGTCTTTTACCGAACTCCCCAAGAAGCCGCCGATACTCTTGACATCTTGCTGAAGCAATTTGCTTATCAAAGTTGGTTATACTATAGAAAGTGTGTTTCATGGTGATTTAAATGAACAGGAATTTATTGAGATTAATACATTACATTTTTTAAGTTTTTATTTAGAGTTTCCCAAAGAAGAGTCGTATTCCAATTGTGTCAACTGGTAGCAAAAAAATTAGCAAATAAACACACTTTTGAGGAAACTATGGGCTTACTTCATTCCATACACTATCTTCATTTCATAAAAAAGTACATTGATCGCAACTTTACTTACCCTTGGGCTTTAATGGCTTACTTGAAATTGTGAATACTTTACACATAACACATCGTGGTGGTGTATATCCAAAGGTGTATATTCTCTTTATCAGAAACACAACACTAACAAAAGGTAATGTTTTTTCAGTAATCGGGGCGCAAAAAATTACCAATCCACCTGATGTTAGGTATATATCTCGAGTTTGGTCGTGTAAATCTATCTGCCTTTATCTTCGAATATAAAGTGCACCTTAAATCTTGTGGCACCACCTGCCGAGTATACTGATGCAGGAGCTTCGCGCAGCCCCCCTGATAAAGCGTCGAGCAGTCTACCGTATATGATTTAAACTTGGCATACAGAGGACCCTGCCCGCAGCACGAGAACGGCACGGAGCTCTTCTGACGGTAATCTCCAGGTCCGCTGACTTCATAACACTTCTTACATGCAGTACTGAAGCTATGAGCGTCGCCATTTCCACCATGAGTCAGTGACGGACGCCGTGTAAATCAATCTGCCTTTATCTTCGAATATAAAGTGTAACTTACATCTTGTGGCGAGTGGTCAAAAACTAATTTTAGGCAGATACAAAATAAAGCTTTTTATTTATTGAGAAGGTGTAATTAAGCCTTTTACATTTCCTATTTTCTCTTTTCGAGTGATTGCCAATTATTAAAATATAGCGTTCCCTAAGTGAGGAGATTTTACGTTATATTTATTTAATCCTTATTTGACTAGCAACGTAATCTACGTAAGTGCCTCAAGAGCTTAGACGCATTATAGGAACAATACCTACAAACCTCTATAACCCACATGGGACGAGAGTTGCATTAATAATTCAATCGTCTTGAAACATATCGATGGTCATAGACAATCATTTATTTATTACTCATGCCATTACAAACAATAATTAGCATGGAAGTCCCCTGTGATGGTACCGCCCCAAATAAGGCACAGTAATTATTGATGACAAGGACAATGTTTTTATTGCGTATTCATCATATTGTAACTAAGCAAGGTCGAAGGAGGGTTACCTACTTTTTTTCTATAATACTATATACTATTCTTTCAAATATACTATATTTCATAGAAAAAAAGTCGTAGCTTTCGTAGCTTTGTTTAGAGGCAACCTCAAAACGAAAATTGTAGATGGCAAACAAATTAGAAAGAAATAAGCAGTGGTGTCGATTCTGCCATGATTCTCTAAACCTAAACTTAAATTAGACAACAATGCATCCTTATCATTCTTTTAAATACAGAATGAAAAGGAGACGTTATGTTGTTAAATTTAGTTGTAAGTTTAAAAATCATGCCAGAATCGACATCATTATGTGGTTAAAATATTTCGCGGTTTTCGCGCAGGATATGTAGAGCAAAGCAGAGCGGGCTTTAAAAAAAAAGATTAATGGTACGTTCCGCTTTAGGCAAAATATAGTAGTTTCGCCTACTATATATTTTTTTGAAATATATTATTTGATACGCTAATACAATATAGTACGATACTATATTATACAGCAAGGGTTGGCAACCCTAAGCCGTTGCGACCATTACTATGTGAATATAATACAATACCGTGACAATACGACCTTAATACAGCTATGTCTTAGATGTTGTATGAGCATCCATGTTTATAATAAGTTTGTTATGCATAGATATCATTAGAAAAAATTGTAGAGCATTCGCCAACGTAGCCGCAGTATTCACAAGAATATCACGGAATACCTATATTTCTATATTCATCTAGAGATTCTGGAGTAGTAGTTTTATATGAAATGAAAAAATAGTATATTGTTTTAAACTTTCATGGTCACTAACATTATAGTAATATAAGTTATTTACGGGATTGTTACCATGTACCTTGTTTTTAGCGAGTTTCCGATATGGACTTCATCGGAGGGTAGACCGATATGTCTGCCAATAACAGCCTAGGCGCAATTATTTCAGTTACTCCGTGATCATGGCGCTTGCAACAGTGCCGAAATATCGGAAACTCGTTAAAAACAAGGTACACGGTAACAATCCCGTAAATAACTTATATTACTATAATGAAAAAGTAGGGTGAAAAACTGTACAAAGATTTATTTCTGTGGCGCCCACCTATCTGATACAATAAATTTAATGAATAATATCATTAAATTTATTGTTATTAAAATTCAAAATAATTTATTCAGTCTTGACTGTTACAAGCTCTTGTGAACGTCAACTCTATTCCATCAGTTCGTAAATCTACGGCGCGGCGGACGCACACGGGCTTCTAACAGCCCCTCTGATAAAGCGTCGAGCAGTCTGCCGTATATGATTTAAACTTGGCATACAGGGACCTGCCCGCAGCACGAGTACGGCAAGGAGCTCTTCTGACTGCAGTCTTCAGGTCCGCTGATTCTACAACACTTCTTACCTGCAGTACTGAAGATATGAGCGCCGCCATTGCCACCATTAGCAACTGCTGCCGCGTATACTGGTGCAGGGGCTTCGCACAGCCCCTCTGATAAAGCGTCGAGCAGTCTGCCGTATATGGTTTGAACTTGGCGTCCAGAGGACCCTGCCCGCAGCACGAGAACGGCACGGAGCCCTTCTGACCGTAGTCTCCAGGACCGCTGACTCCACAACACTCGAACTAAAAAGAAGAAACCATCGGTTATTGCACCTACCAATCCGCACTGGACCTGCATGGTAAATTAGGGCTCTTACTTCTTATGTAGTTGTTGAGTATTGGTGTGTGTCTGCTTTTTGCCGTTTAAATTTTGTTTTAAGGATTTTGATTTAAATATTCCTACTATAGTAGAAGAAATACAAGGCTGCAAGGAACGATACTTCAACGACTAACCATGCACCGAAACCCACTGGCCAACGAGTTGCTGGATACGTCGAATACAACTGTTTAGCTGCGAAGCTGAGGCACTGGCCTCTGCTTTCTTAAAGTCATTCTGCATACATCAAATGATAAAAGTCTTAGGATAATAAAAAATGCAGTTTTAATCAAATGACTGATCACGTATATGTTAAAATAATAAATCTCAAAACGTTTAATAGATACTCAAAGCTTAAATCATTTTGTGATCTTTGAAATCAGATTACAGGCCGCGGTCGGGGCACGCACATAATTGTTTCTTTTCTTTCGATCACTGTTGGTCGAGGTCACCACTTATAAACACCGCGAAACGAATAGAAATCAGTTTCAAGAACAACATTTAACTTGTTATTGTACTCTTGTCGCTACAATATTGAAAAGATTAAGGAGAAATACTACTTCATCATCCTCATCATCATCAACCCATGTTCGTCCACTGCTGGACATAGGTCTCCTCTAATGCACGCCACTGCTCCCGATTTTGTGCTACTCTCATCCAGCCCACTCCAGCCAGCCTACGAATATCATCTCAGGGCGTCCTACACTACGTTTACCGAGTCATGGTCTCCACTCAAGTACTTTCCGGCTCCAACGGCCATCAGTTCTGCGGCTAATGTGACCAGCCCACTGCCACTTCAGTTTGCTAATTCGGTACTACTACTAAATACTACTTACTTACTGATAATTATATTATTACGTTAGCCTTTTATTTTAATTTTCAATCATATTTACGCATTATTATGACGACCTCCGTGGTGGAGTGGTATGAATACCTAGTTTGAAGGTATCGTCTTGGGTTTGAATCCCGGTGGGGCAAAATGTTTCTATAATTAATACATTTATATATTATTTTGAAGTCATGGCTGTTTATAGAAATCCTTATAAAGAATGACTATTTATAACACTTTATCTATTTCTATCCTAAAATCTAATTCTATGGGTGAAGCAAATCTTAAGTGGTCGCGTCAGATTTTAAAATACGCCCTTGCTTATGCCTTAGCTGTAATTACCGCTACGCTATCTTAAATAAAACTCTGTCGACTACTCTGTTATAACATATTGTTTTTTTAAATACCTACCTATACTTTCATTCTTAATATTAATAAGAGCTCTCACCTGGACATGCAACCTGTCCCACCGAATGGATTCCGGCGAGTTGGGGTTGTTGACCTCATTAGCGACATCGAAGAAACTGGTCATGGAGTTCTTGATGTCAATGTCTACGCTGTCCCACACCACCATAGCCCATACGAAGCACGAAAACTGAACTGCTACCACCAAGAAGATGAGCACCCCAGTCTGAAAAATGTTTGTCAAAATCGTTAAATAAAAAGTTGCATGAATTACAAAACATACAACATACAAATAAAAGAAGAAAGATTTTAATAATAATGTTATAGTACCATATTATTATTATTGTAAAATTATTATTGCGTTTTGAGTTGCAAAGATAATCCGCTCGAATTTGAGCACTAATCTCAATCTTAACCTTGCAGAGAGCTGCAGCAGTCTGTAGCAGCATAACATTGTCCAAAATGAATTTACATGTTGCTACTAAATACTTTATTCAAATCGACTTATTGATAGCTACCATTTTTATTTAACCTATATTATAATATTTTTCTAACGTTTTTTTAGAACTCTCCCACCGCTAATTATATAGAGTTGTTTTTTAAGTTTATTTATTTGAAGCAAATCTAAAAGATATGTGGTAAGCGCAGACGATGAAACTCCCTTGCAAAGCAGGTGTCTGTCCATTCAACAAATTTTTTTGTTTACCATACCATTCTTAACAATTAAAACTGAAAATATGACTAGAAAAAAATCCACGCGAACCAGGCAGCAGACGGCAATTGGTCAGTGCATTCGGCCGGATTGCGAAGGGTGCAGGTTCGAGTCCCGTCTGCTGCCTGGTCCGCGTGGATTTTTTTCTAGTTATATTTTCTTTAGATTTAAACATCAAGCAGTTACATGCTTAAAAAATAAAAGTTAACATTAAAAATGGGTTATCATAATATATCTTTTTCCAGGTCAATTATTCCCCCACCAAATATAAAAGAAGCCTAGCTCAGCTGAAAAAGAAGTAGATACCTACCAAAACTATATGAAAGTGGTGCATAGATTTCGCTGTTCGCCAACCGATCCACGCCACTGAGCAAGTGATAATAGCCATCATCAGTAGCAGTATAGCAGGATACTCCACATTGACTCCAATGAAATGACGGTATACGAAGAGTCTGTAGAGAAGAAATCCGCTTACACCAAACATTACCACTGCTGACATCTGTTGACAACACAAAACAACTTTATGAGAAACGAGAAAACCCGACCAAGTTAGATTGTCGCTCGTACAAAAGGAAACGACCGCGTGATTTCTTTCACTCTCAGTTGCACCCTTATATCAACTAGCGCCACTAAAATACTTTAAAAGTTTTCAATTTAGGATTAGTCATTTTCGTCGGTTAACCTTAATTGAGCGAACAATGATCTCTCACAGCACGATTATTTATTAACAAGTTGCATTAAAGTGAAACTGTGTCACTGCTTTAATTCAATTACATAAGAAAATAAGATACCGAATCCATTATATATTTCGAAATGAGCAAGATTCCGTGTTTACGTAGCGTTGTTATGACAACAAAGCGGATCAAGTGCAATGCAACGGGATTCGTGAAATAAAGAAAAAACTTCTTAAACTTTAGAAATAGCATTTACTCACAGCGAATAGGGCGTTGAATGTTAACACAAGATATTTCCAACAATTCGTGGAGAGGGCCATCGTGCTTCCGGCTTCACATTATCCGAGATCTTGTTTGAAACTCAACTCAAAACAAAGAGCCCGGTCGTTCCACCTCAGAGATTGTTTGTGTATGTCGCTCTGAGTCTGACCGCGTACCTTCCCGCAATGATGCAACCACGTCGTACAGAATTAAACATTCGGCATTTAATCAACACGAAATAAATTTCAACTTTAGACTAGAAGGTGTATGAAGTATGAGTCGGATTATCATATTTCCTGTAAAGCTGACTCGTAATTTCATGTCATATAGTGCGCTCGTTATCAGCATATCGGCCCGTTATCAATAGACACATCGAGTATGTGGGATGGTGTATATAATCTCCTAACCCACTTTCGTGCTACGACGCTGTCATTTCTACTGCGTGAACTCCTACTCTACAAAATAGCACTGCAGTAGTTATTTTTATCACGACGGCAACGTTAACGCTCCTCATTTTGGCGACACTACGTTTTGTAATGACTACTCTTTGTAACTTTATAGGTACTGAAAAATAACTAATTTCGTTATTTATTTACCTCATTATTGTCCATTAAGTAAATCAATTAAATTGGTATTATCTTTTTATTCAGAAATATTAACATTTATTGGAAAAGCACATCCACCCGGATCATTATTGCCGTTACTTACTTAAATGATCAATAATACAAAGATAATTTTAAAATTACTCGCTGACCCTGCGAATTTCGTACCGTCATAAAATTAGGGGTTAGTGGCAGAAAGGAGAAAATTTAGTGTTGATATGTATATTTAATGGCGAATCTGAAAAACAAATGTCCTAAAAAAATGGTGTGAACTAACCTTATCGGTATGAAAAAAGTTTACATCCTACTCTCAGATCTATTAAATATACACACAAAATTTCATAAGAATCGGACAAGCCGTTTTGGAGGAGTTTTGTTACAAACACTGTGGACAGGATTATATATTAAAACGTTTAATTTATTTAAAGTGCCTACGACTAATAATAATCACAAAAACATAAATTCTTAACCAGAACATCCGGTAATGTTTCCACTTGGATTAAATCCATAACCTTTTTTACTTCTTCCTCTAGGTCCTGACTTACAGGGCCCGCTTGTTTCGCAGTACGAAGCATAGCTCTCGCTCTATGTACATCTCTATCATACATAGCAAGTAAGGCCAAAAGCGCCCAGCCATCAGCCAATTTCGGTTCCATTTTCACAGCTATAGCAGCCCATCGTTCCGCAAGGTTTCCTTCATCTATTTTTTTATAAATACGACCAATAACGAGGGCTGAGTAAGCGGACGGTGTTATTTTATGCACTCGAGCTGCTCTTTGGAGAGACAAGTGCGGGTTTAAGTCAAAACCAGATACAGCAGCCTTTAATAGCAACGAAGGACATATCTCTGCACCAGCTTTCTCTGCCTCCTCGAGAGCAGACTCACACTCATCATCCCAACCTCGCATGACAGATAGACAAGTAGCTCGCATTTGAGACATAATTGCTGAAGGACCGAATCTTTTCAAGCCCATCGTGGTCACATCCAAAGCCTTAACCGTCTCCCGCCTTAAAATGAATGATGCCGCTTTAATATAATACAAGTCGGGTCCAATTACAAATTTTAATCCCAAACGAGAACCTCGACTTGCGCAATTTTCTTCGTAGCATTTTAATAACCTTTCGTTAAATGCATAGCATCGTAAACAAAGAAAGAAAGCGGCTGCTATCAAAATAGGATTTTCTGAGGATATGGTTGTCGACAACCAAAATGTTTCTTCTTCTCCACTTATCGCAATCCACCTACTAAGAAACAAGTTCCATTCTTTTGGTAGTTCAAAGCATTTTCTCATTCTCTTGGCTGCAATGAATGCGGCGTGAATGTTTTCATTCGAGTGATATAACGCGTGCAGGGCGGCCCAGCCGATAGCATTAGTGGTACCATCAGAACTATCACCTTTTACTGCTATACGGAAGGCAGCACATGCCATTTCGAAGCCTTCGCGGCCTTTGTTGAACTCTTGAGCACCAAATGTCCACAATAGAAATTTATTACGGGTGTGGATGCTCAAAGCCTCAAGTAAATAAATCCTGGCACCGGCTTCTTTATTTTCTTCTAATAAGCGTAACGCTTTGTTAAGTAACGGTCTGGGATGATTCTTAAATGCTTGCAGATTAATATTTAAATGCATATCGGCCATCCTAGTATCTCCCGCCATACGACATCTTGCAGCTGCAACTGTTGAAGTGGGCTCTTGCGCTGGAGGTTGTGGTGAAAAAGAGGCCGTCACAGCACGTCTGCTAGCAGCATGTTGCGCTGTTACTGTATCTTGCCAATCTATAACTGAACAGTCACCAGGAGGAAATTGTTTAAGCATTGTTCTTACTCTCTTAAGTAACCGATTGGCAGCTGTTCTTTTAATACCTTGATTCATTGGAACAGCACCTCGGCAAGCCAAATTGCTTAGTTCCTTATGAACAGCCAAAGCGCCGCCTTCTTTTCGTATACGTCTCACATCAATCGAAGGATCTTCTTGTAATGTGTCTATATCCAAGACATCAACTGGTAATGGTGATCCTTCTGGAGGGGGAAATCCAAGTGTCTCATATAACCAAGTGAATTTCAATTTTGGCATCAACGGTTCCATTACATCGAACCTGATTACAATATAAGCATCGTGGCCAAATTCATCTATTACAAAATCGGTGTCTCGAGCACTAATTTTTGCGCTACTAGGCGGTAATTCTAACAGTGGACCAACATTATCAGGTAGCTTAGCTTCATTATAAAACAATAATTTTGCACAAACTGTAACTCCATATTCTCCAGGCTCTAATAGTGCTCCTGCATCCACAAATCCCATATAGCGTCCGCGAATCTCTATTTTCCCCATCCTGGGTACACCAGCTATTTCAATCATAAGAGGTGACAATAACCTTTTACTTAATAACAATGGATCAACTAAGACCCTTTTCATAGCATTCCAGTATACTGAATTACATTTATCACCGTTTTTTACTACAAGTTCTTGTGGAATAAAGTTGTCTTCATTAGGGACATTCATCGTAGTATTCGCTGCATGCCCTGCGTTACTAGCAGTTGCCCAAACAGTTTTCAAAGCATTTTTTACACTAAGAGACATACCGAAATTTACGACTGGATCTTCCAGTACCTCACTCAACCCGATAGCGGAAATATAAACTGTCCCTTCTTTAGCGTAGGGCAAACAATTAGCAGATAGTATAGTCATAATGAGAGGAACTCTAATGTTATCAGAAAGTCCCGCTGATTTTGCATAAACTTCTACAGTGCAAGTTGTAGACTCGCCAGTACCAATCAATACTAATGGGACTAGAACTCTAATTTCTTCTTCGCCCATAATCAGTGGAAATAAATCAACGGTAGCACCGGCTCTATTATCAGCATTTAGTAGAGGATCAAGATCTCTCGTGCCTTTTCCTCCAACAGTTCGTACCATTAATATAACAGGCAGATCTGCGACCAAATTCTGACTGTGCAGTCCTTTCAGATCCAGAGACAAAGCTTCGCTTTCCAGTACACGACCATCCCTCCACTTTCCTTCTAAAACTATTTGACCATTAAAGATTGCCATAAATGGCCAGTCTCCAGGCCCAGGAGGAGCACCTTTTAGAGTCAGCCTTAAGCTCACATAACGAGGAGATGCTATACATATATCTGATAGATCGAACGGACTAGATTTTATATCAATAGTCGTCATAGACTTATTTTTTTTTCCTTTAGGAGGCATTTCAACTGAGGGTATTTTGTTTCCTTGTTGAATCTTTACTTCAACTGATTAATAACTCAAATAGTGGTTTACATTACAGCAAATATTTTAACGGCAAATATGTCAACATGCGAGTCAAGTAGTAATCAAATTTTTACTTCTTTGCGTCACACCAATATTATATATAACTTCATGGTCAAACCTTAGCGCAGCGTCAAACTATGAGACAAACCTTGCACGAATAATCTCTCTACGCGATAAACAACGATTTTTTGTCCGAATTACCAACTGCAAGTTCGCCGCAAACGACATAGCTGTGTGTAATTCAATGTACAAGGAAGTTAAAATAAATGAAAAAAAAATTTGGAAGGAAGTATAACTCGTTTTTCGTTAACAGATTGCCTAAAAAGTTCTGGCAATAGAGGTAGCTTTCCAATTACAGCATTATAGCGCATTATCGGCATAATGCCTAACGTTGAGTGTTCCAACTACAGCAACGCTTCGCACAATTGAGCACTCTCAAAAGTAATGCTTTCGTGTGATGCGTGCAATCGTACCAAGTCAAAGACAGAAAATTAACAAGTGTTTTTTCTTTAAGTTGGCATTGATCGAAATGTTTTATTTATATGTTATCGTTAGTAGTAATATTATTTATTGTTGAAAAATTATTAAAACTTTTGTTTCATCATAGTTTTTTTTAAATAATCAAAGTTAATTCAAACTGTGTTAAAAATTAAATATAAATATGGATGAAGGTACAAACATTGACTTTTTATTCAACACTGAACTTAGCGCACTCTGCTGGTGCATTTGAAAACTAATTCACGTTCCAATTAAGCATCAGCATAATTCGGCATTGTGCGGCACTGAGTCGCATTATGCTCTGTAATTGGAAAGCAAGCAGAATGTCTTTCATGCTCTGTTTGCGAGCGGAGCGTAGGAACCATGGATATAGGATTTCGTAGGAAGCTCAGAACTTTGAATCTAGTAAAATCTGGCATGGAACGTAACTCTATTGTCTATGGTCAGAACCGTTTAAAAGCTTTATTGGTAATTTACATTTACTATTGCATAAATGTACTATATTTTACTAAACATTATTCATTTTAAAAACTAAACGATCTTGTTTAATTTAATTAAAACGTAATTATAATATACATATAAATTACTATTAGTAATACTTGTTAATATGGCGATATAAATTATTGATTTCATTGATTGAAAACCATTTTCGAACGTCTAAAATGTTGGCTCAATGTCAAAGTGACGTAATGACATTGACACTTTCATGTTTTGTTGTGAAATTTCCTTGAAAATTTTGTTTTAGACAAGCTGTTTGCTGTTTTATAAATTTGCGATTTTATGCTCTCATTATGTATATATGATGTATACTTTACTTCACGGCTTTTATAAATATATTATTCAGAAAGACGAATACTGTGTTCTCATTTTAGGTTTGGACAATGCTGGCAAAACGGTACTAGATTAAGTGACCACGTAATATACTGAATATTTATATGTATCACATATAAATTTATTTTTATTATTTTACAGACTTATTTGGAAGCTACTAAAACAAAATATACAAAAAAATACAAGGCCATGAATCCAAACCGAATAACCACCACAGTTGGCTTGAATATAGGGAAAATACATGTTGATGGTGTTATACTAAATTTCTGGGATTTAGGTGGGCAACAAGAACTCCAGTCTTTATGGGATAAGGTAATGATGTTTATCCTTTCACCTCCTTGTTATGGTACTGTAATCATTTTATGTTTTCTGTATGTAGGGAAGCATTGCTGAAATATTTTTTACTAAATTTTCATTTGAGTAATACACTGTGTTCTGTGTGTAACCACAATTATATTAAATAGCCTGCTACTAATACAAGAATAGACCCATGTATTAAATTGAATAAATGTTATTGTTACCTCCTTCAGAAATAATACATACTGCATAATGATTATGCTTATTTTTTAATTTCAGTATTATGCAGAATGTCATGCTGTCATCTACATAGTTGATTCTTCAGATAGAGAAAGGATTTCAGAATCTAAAGAGACATTTGGTAAATATAAACAACTTATTTCTTTTTACAACAATAGTGAGATTAACTTGACACAAATTCAAATACAAAAGTTACATTTATTTAAAATCTTATGATAAAGTATCTACTTAGAGGCAACATGATGTATCCTTACAATATTTTCAGATAGGATGATAGCATCGGAGCACTTATCCGGAGTACCTTTATTGGTGTTGGCCAATAAACAGGACATTCCAGACTGCATGGGTGTGCACACTGTCAAACCAATATTCAACCAAAATGCACACTTGATTGGTGCAAGGGACATAATGCTTATGGCAACATCTGCCTTAAATGGGTGACTACTCAAATTAAATTAATTTAGAGTATGCATTACAGTAATGTGATATTTAAATAAAACTAGTTTTTACGGGTTAATGCACGAAACTTTATTTATTTATTGACGTTTCGCAGCCTTTTCAGGTCTGCATCGTCAGAATAATGATTTTTTATTTAAAATTGTCGAGCTACCTTCGAAAGACTTATATTGAGCGTTCGGTTATTTCATTGGAAGATTTTTAATTTTATTGTCTATGTATGAATTTATTATTTAATTTACTTAATAAAGTATTTTATTTAAAATTCTTGTTTGTAATTTTGAGTTTATTTATTTGACCCTAACTACCGTAAACTACCACCGGTTCCAAAATTGGGAGACCTTCCTGAGAAGAACCGGCGAAACAAACTCAAGAGAGGCTTTCTATCTCCTTCTTATGTTAAATTATGCAAAACTTCTTCTTCTTCTTCTTTTTGTTTGCAGGTTCTTCTCGGTCGGTTCTTCTCAGGAAGGTCTCCCAATTTTGGAACCGTAGTTTACGGTAGTTAGGGTCAAATAAATAAACTCAAAATTACAAACAAGAATTTTAAATAAAATACTTTATTAAGTAAATTAAATAATAAATTCATACATAGACAATAAAATTTTAAAAATCTTCCAATGAAATAACCGAACGCTCAATATAAGTCTTTCGAAGGTAGCTCGACAATTTTAAATAAAAAATCATTATTCTGACGATGCAGACCTGAAAAGGCTGCGAAACGTCAATAAATAAATAAAGTTTCGTAGTTTTATTTAATGAGTGATGTGCGTGAAAACCTAAGAAACAAAAATGTGATATTTATTCTACTTTACTATACTTTAGATAAAAGACCTCCACCTATCAACAATTCCAATTTATTGTTGTTATTTTCATTTTTTAATAGTCTCTCATGGAATATATATTGCTTTACAGCTTTTGCTTATATTTAATCTCCTGCCCCCCATAGCATGCACCGACTGAACGCCATATTGTGACGTCATAGCTGTCAATTCGAACGAAATAGGTAGATTGAGCAAAAAAAGATTTTATTTAATAAAATTTATTTACTATGATTAAATGAGAAGAAACATCAGATTTTTTTGTAATAAAATTTATTTACTAAGTTTGAGAAAAGAAAACAACCGATTGTTAATAATATTTATTTATTAAGACTGTGAGAAAAAACATTAATCAGAATTAAGCTCTTCAATTCCACTCTTCATCTTTGCGCACTATTACTTAGTCACATACGAACATGCATCCTATATGTAAACGAAAGTTTTAAAACGAGTTCCTGAACGCAACTTAAAGTGACATTTGGTTGACGATTTAGATTAACAAACATTCATAACCAAAGCTCAATAAATGAAAAAAAAAACAACCAATATTATTTATCAATATTTGTTATTGTTTGCTTACAAATGTTTGGTTTTTATTCTAGAAAAAAAAAGGGTTTCAAGATATTTTTGCAAACCGTACTTTTCAAGTGACTTTTGACAGATAGAGGTCATTGACTTTCCTATTCTTATTTGAATCGCATAATACTCATCATATTTTTTTCACTAAACCAAAAATCTAAACTAAACCGTTGTTCTTTTAATGATTAAAAAAATATAGACAATAACTACCTAAAAAAATTGTCTCTTGCATTGGATAGATTATTGGAAAGTTTTCAATAGAAACTACTATAAGTAATCTAGGCTTAGCGCGCACTGCGGCGATTGGACGGCGCGATGAAATACCGCCATTTTACATTGTGTTTAATAGAATATCAACAACGACGACACCGGCACCGCTGCCGCAAATATTCTGCGTCCCGTTTGGTAACAGAATATCGGCGGCACTGAGCAAGTAATCTTTTGTCAATCTGCTGAGAGAGTTTGAACAGAGAGTACCTATTTTTCGTTTACTTACCTGATACATATGTCTATAGATTCTGCATCACCTTCTTCGCCAATTATGATGATTTATTATTATGATTATGATGAATCATTAATAGAAAAAAGATATCTATTATACAATTGTATTAATCTATGGCTCACCATATAATGCACCCAATATCTGTTATTCGTCTTCTTATTTTATTGTTTTGTAATATAAGTGCACAAACACAGGCTACTTGTATATCGAAATCTATTTTGCTTGTGCCACTCACTGCAAATAAAACGCGCAGTGCGCTCATCGCAGATGCCAAAAGCTGTAAGGCGCGCCCGGGCGTAAGTAATAATTATATTGCATAATTGCGATTGATTGCGCTATTAGTCATCATAATGGTAATGATTTAGAAACACGCGTCGCCGGAACCATCTGGACTTAGCCTTAAGTTCACATTTCAGATACGAATTAATTATTAATTTGAATTTAAAAACAAAATCCAAACCAAGATAGCCAATGAGTCATATCGTCACTTTTTCTTTAATTTTGAAGGGGTAATCGAAAGAGATAATGTTAGAAAATTATCCTCCAGGAAATCAGCCTACACAGTTTTGACTTAGGCAACAAGTCTGTGCCCTTAGTATGAGTTTGAGCTCTCGAAAACTATCATAATTTTCGTAATTGTAAATTATGTTCCTATGTCCATTTTGGCGAAAAGTAACCAAATATACTCAAAATTTGAGAAGACGCAAATGATTTAATGATAGAATTTAAACACTGTTTATTTGTATTGAAATGAAAACAAATAAATCAGTACCCTTAGTACGAGTGCGAGCTCATGAAAACTATCATAGTTTTCGTAATTGTAAAACTCGTACTAAGGGTACTGAGTTTATAACTTTATCTGCTGCACTACAGACTATAGATAGCGCCACGACATCACATGGATTGAGACTTTAATATATGAGTACCTACAATGTTTTGTTTTCCTAACGTGATTTAGTCAAAATGATAAATCTTTTGGTAAACGCTGTTTTGTGAACAGGGTCAACTCATAGTAATATTTGAAGTAGGTAGCTTATTATTGGATTAGTTGGTTGTATTTGTATATGAATATATTGATGTAAATACTCGTAGCTTAACTTGAAACGCAAGTTTTTTCTAATACGAACGCTTGTCGTCCACTAACATAAATAATTAAGTAAGTTACCTACTGGTGGAGCAGAATAGCTCGCAAAAATTAACAACGCCATTAAATTATTTCGCGTTCGGTTTTCCAATTTCAAAGCAAATAGCTCTTGAAATATTTTATAACCATTTGTGTGACGCCATCGCTTCATTACGCGCGTGTGGTTCCATCTCTCTACCTTATTACCTACTACAATGAAACTGTTTATATTGTTACTAAACGTAAACAATAATGTTGTATGAGTCACTAAACCAAAACCTCGTAAATCAGTTACCTTAATCACTAAAATACCGTTAAATAGCAGCTCAAAATATTTGTCATTAATAGATCTAATATATACCTAATTAAATAAATATCAAGTTTTGGTTAATTTAGAACAGGTGAAAAAATAACGCTTTTGGCATTATTATTTTATGCACATATTACGACCTTACTTAAATCTGTGATATTGCGAAAAGTAAATTTACTATTTCAATTTATTTATGCAGAGACGGCGTCGACGAAGGCATCAGATGGCTTGTGGATTGCATCAAAAGGAACAGCGTAGATCGACCACCGCGAAACCACGAGGACAACTTATAGTATAGGCACTGCGCTCTCACCTGCACTTGTCATTCAACCGCGCTACTAAAACAATGAATGATAATGAGTTTTCCTATTTAGATAACGATGTGACTCTACCCATTGTTTTGTACATACATTATATCGTATTAAGAATAAAACAGTAAAACCGTGAGTGTGTATTGCTATCCTTTTTCAGTGATAAATTGAACCTTTGATAAGAGATATGTAATTGCTGGATAGGTGTTCGGAGTACCTGCACCCCTGATAAAGCACTTCTGATAACAGTTCAGTGTGTACCGTCGCGGAATACTGTGCTCTGTTTGTGAAATGATATTATTATAATTTATTATTTGGTGTATTTACACGAACCAATGATGGCATATCCAATGTATGAAGTGGACTGGAGTGTATTACCGCCAGAACAAAACAGAAGGTAGGTGATAAATTATATATTAATCTATTATTCTTAAAAAAGTATCCCGTGTATACCAAATTCCTACTTGAGAAACTTTAGGAAAGTGATAAGAAACTCGTTATCACTTTAGGATGGGAAACGGATATGATTTTCCTTTTTTCCTTCTATTTTTCCACGTAGCGTTCGTTCAGAAACCACTTTTACTCATCTTTTACTACTTTTAAAGAATTTAAAAATATTTTCTACTATAACATGCTAATCATAATCTGCAATACAAACACAACTAAAACACAATTTAAAATTAAAATATAGTGTCGTATTTATCGGAATTAAATAAAACCAAAAAAAACCGTTTTGATCAAAAATTAGTAAACGTCATGCATGAGGGTCGGCCATGTTGAATCTCTTGCAACGCACCACGGAAATGTCAGCTGGTCACTGTCGTAATATTTCTTTGTAAAATTACGTATCTATTGTATTAAAATATATTTCCGAAGATTGACCCTGTAATGTACATATAAACTTGTCACTACAATGTGTAATCAATATAATTTAAAATGATACTAAGGTGAAAATATGACAGAAGTTATTCAAAGGTGGCGTGCGATTTCTCTTGCATTTCTATGGTTTGTGACGAGATTAAATGCCAATAGAACTATCTAAATACTTGTAAATTATTCCTTAGTTCATTTCGTTATGTTATAAGAGTGTTTAAGTGCTGTTTTCTATAAAAAAGTGACTTGTTTTTCACACCGAATTAATCCTTTGCACCTGCCCCGATCAAGACCGATTACCTGTGCTAGGTACTGCAAAATCGAGTGATACAGGATATTATTACAAAGGAATCTCACAAGTAAACAACATGAACGGTTCAGAATCTGGGTAAATATAATATGTTTATCTTTGTAAATGTAGTTTTATTGACAAGTTTAAGGCCTCTACACGAAGACTTATTATGATGAAACTGCTTTTAAATTCTACAGATTTTTCGTTGTAAAATTTTCTATCTTAATGATTGGTTATTAGTTTTGTCGTAGATATAAGCAAACATGTAATAAAAGTAGTCTTCCAAACTTTAAATGGTCTTCACACTTATTTAATTTATATTGACACTTACCTTGTATTACCAATAGGACAAATAAAATAACTACAATTTTGTCTATCACTGCAATGGCTAGTTTTGTAACTTTTCTAAAGTACATAGTATGTATGAGATTTTAAACAATAGATCTATATTTCACATACCTTTAATATAGTCACAGTGATACTATTCACTGTCATTGTAATTAAAAAACAAAGATCCATTCAGTACAATACAGTTTTGACATCATCATAACTATTAAACAAAGTGTATTTGTCATGTTTACTCTCAAAGTGTACTGTCATGTTTAAAGTTGGATGACTATAGAGATTTACTTTTCAATAATTTTAATAGCTCAGAAAATTACATTCATCATGTTATAATAGGTACTAATAGGTTGAACACTTGCAATAGTAAAATGGAATCAATAAATTGACCCTAATTGACTGCAAGTACATTATTCAATCATACGCGAGGCCTCTAACAAATCATTTTATAAAAAACGAAATAAAAGTTTGCAAAGTAAACTGCAAACAAAATGTGCCATTTTAGATAAAAAATGTTTATATGAACTAAAGTTGATTCAAGTGAATGTCTTGGCCCAGTTTATCTGTACAACACACCTGAAAATAATGCCAACCCCAATAAAACACTTATTCCAAGATCATGTGGGCAAATAGCCATCATAATTACGTGGAGATAAAGAGAAATTTGAATTATGCACAATTTACATGCAGCTAAACATAATTTGTATACATTATTTAGTAAATAGCTATTGAACGCTTTTCATTCATTTATACATTTATTTAGGGTTTTCTCATTTTTTGTACCTATATTGTTAGTTGTTGTTAAACAAAGTAGTACTTATATTTTGATTTTTTAAACATTTAACAACGTTAACTCTATATTTTTATATGTAAAGAAAATTTTACTAGATAAAAGGGCCGTGGTAGGATGTATGTCTGTGCATCTGCCCAAATATCGGAGGGTGCTGTTTCAGGTCCAGTGTGCTACCTGGTTCGCATGGAAATTTTCTAGTAAAATTTTCTTAAGATTTAAAGTAGTACTTGATCAATTGATGAGATTCTTTATATATTCTCTTTTATTTAAGAATGAATGTAATGAAGGATACAGATTTGAAATAATTTGTAATTTTTATTTTAGTAATACCTTTTCATATCTGCATTATTTTTATTTTTTCATTGATTGCAGGTTCAACCCAGCTTTTAACATAGCTACCATAAAGCAAGTGGTAAATGAGGCAATCGAAAGAGGTAAGTTGCACAAATGCATTACAACCCACTAAATTAATAAAGTAAGACTTTCATTATAAGGGTATTATATTGAGGGTAGATTCTTATAATGCAATTGAACTATTAGGTACATCAACTCACTGTTTGCTTGATACTTTTGACATTGCAAGATTTCTTTTAAACTTCTTGGATAGTAAATAATAATTGAATGCAGCTAACTCTTTCTGTATTTTGATTATAGTAGCTTATAAAACTAATATAATGGCCCAATAAAATTATCACCTGCTTTTTTATCTTATGTAATTTCAATATACTAATACAAATACTAATTTGTACCATAACTGTTAGGTGGTCAGGCCTTATATTTTCAAGTTTTGTTATTAATAGAACATTACATCCTATACAACATCTTAACATTAGATTTAATAATTCATTTGCTACTGATTTAGAACTGTTGATGTTGTTGTTCTTTAACAGCAGCACTACATACATGGTCTATTCATGTTACTATATTATATGAAGAGACTTAAATATTTTGAAGTTATAACTTTACTGGCAGCATATGAAAGGAAATTTTATATAAATTATACTCATATAATTGTTGTACATACAAACATCAACAGTCTTCAATCAACAATACAGATTGTTTACTTTAACACAATCACAATTTATTTAACTTTATTAATAAAAAGGTTAAAGGTCATTAATTCTTTTTATTTATTTCATTTGATCTAATAACATTTGGCCAATTTAACAGCTTAGCTATAAGAAACAAAGCACTTAAAACTAATGCACTGATGAACGCTTTCTGTGTGTGTGTGTCGTCCGTAACAGTCGCGCCGGTTTCAGTGCGGATGCCGACTCCGACCCGGCTCCGGGACCTCATCCGGCAGATCCGGGCCGCAAGAACCGCGGCCGAAGAGCGCAGCGTTGTCAATAAAGAATGTGCCTACATAAGATCCACGTTCAGAGAAGAGGACAGTGTTTGGAGGTAATTTTTGATGTGTAACATCTTTCCTCTCGATTTCCTGCAATTTGCGGGAGTGATTTTTGGATGGAAGTGTGTAACAAGAAGTCGCGAAAGCGCGCTCTATTTAATTTGATTTTTGAACATAATGTTCAAATGACTTATTCCTTTTGTAGTAGGTTTTATTTCTTTTATTACTAATATAATGTGAGCTTTCAAATGTTACACATCATACGCGACTACTGTAAGGCTCGCTCGTTTTTTTATATTATTTTTAGGTAACACCGATGAAAATTCTGCATACATGGTAATATCTGTGCTGTGTGTTGCATTAGGACACTTCCCTGTGGAGGAATAGAGAGAGAATGGAACATAAGCCATAAACCGCCTTCTGTTGAATGGATAGTAAATTATGGAAACTAGTAATCCATGCGATAATAACACTGCCAGTCCTTCTATTATCTTAAACTGCAGGCCAGAAAATTTTGTTTGGAGATAAAGAGGATCTTGGAGAAAATCATACGTTTTTTGATGCGAAAGTTACATTTGATGGTGATAAGATTGAGGAGATGACAGCTTGTACGGGTATTATTATCTGCAAACGCAGACGCACTCATCCAGTAGCAGCATACAATAAATGCGGAATGATTACGCGTAGGATTCGGGCATGTGGAGCGCGTTATATAGGTAGGATGTGTCGGTTTACTATTGTTTGTTAATTCTTAGACCATGAATTGGACGATAGCACGAGCGGAAGCGTCGCAACTCGGGCGACAGAGTAAAGTATGTGAAGCCCTTATCTTGTCGTAACTAATGAGACGGTAACTTGAACGGTGTACATTTGTGGTTCCAAACTGCAGCTACATTTCGAACGCTATTTTAATAGAACCAGAAATTTATAGATAGTGCTATTTTATTAATATATAAATTCACGTGATGCAAGAAATCCGATGTATCGTAAGTGTATATAGGTAGACACTTAAGTAAGGATCTCCATTTTCATAAGTAATCAATGGATGGGAGACGAGGTTAGCTGTAATCTACACACGTAGCAGTCGCGAAAAAGTCCCAAGATACATTCTCCAGCATTATGAGAAGGTTGGATAGGAGGAACACAATATACAACACGAAATAAGTCACAGCTATTGCTACGAGTATGTCACCTCAAGCTTATTAGCTTACTCGAGATGCAATTTGACCCAAGTAGATTGCCGCAATTTCGCTGTCACATTGTGCCGTGTAGAGACTGTTGAATGCTAAAACAACATTTTCAATCGCCTTGTTCTTGGATCTATACCAACCATGATCACTTTGTGATTCAATGGCGGATTCTTCAGTGAAGCATGTTTCTTCGTCTACTCCTGGGTTTAGGTTTTTTTCATGGTGCGCCGCAATGTGCCCTGAGTAGTGTCATCCGGATCCAGTCCTTCCCGCTAACTTGGCGATATCATTGGACCATCTGGCGGACTGCCTGACAATGTTCGTAAGTCCTGTTTTCTGTCGCCACTCTATTAAAGCTTGATTTCACGTCTCGTTCTGTGAGCCATGTGACAGGCCCACCTATTACTTCCCTGCTATTTGGAGAGAGTAGTTTCCATTATTTACGTATCTTACATTTTGCTTAGTCATATTAGTCCAGGTTTCAGCCCCGTAAGTCGGGACAGGTAAAGTACATTGACTGAAAGCACGACGTTTGAAGTACTTGGGCATCTTACCATTCAACAAGTCTGATAATAATTTGCTGAATGCTTTCTAACGTAGTTCAATATGACGGTTGATTTCTTTGAGTCAGTCCCTTGTCCCCTTTATCGATTGTAATTATGTAGGGCTATGTCAAATAGTCTTCCACCCGTTACATAAGGCTTTCGGCTATAAATCTGTTTTCTTATACTTGGGTTTTGCACATTATTTAGGTTTTTAATGTGTTTATGCGGAGGCCCTCCAATTTGTAAGTCAACATTCACCCTTGCCCAATGTAGAGCCTTTTCGGCCTTTTAGGAGCTAATTCGTATTAAATATCGTTAATTCAGTTTGCATAAGATGTCTTACTGTTAATTGAATACTCAATAACATGTACGTACAATATAAAAACGTCTCTTGACCTTATTTATCTCATGTTACTGTCAGACTAACGGGGGTGATACCTTAGGTTCTTACTACATTTCCAAAGCGTGGATTTGTAAACTCAAATGGCGCGTCCTGTGCATCATTTATAATATTTTCATTGAATCTTTAACTGATAGATTGTGTTACATGTAAAGAATATTACCAACTTTTTCCCGATACCTTGGTGTTTTTCATCAATCACACACAGGGGAGACAAGTCGTTTTATGTCACGATAAAATTGTGTTAGGCCAGTTTTTTGGGGTCCGTCTGTCGTCGGCAACCCTTATCTCCGAACTAACAAGATAGGCGGGTAGAATAAGTCTTCAGTTTTCCAATTATTCTTCTTGTTGATGTTATTGACTCATTTTTGCGCAGGGTTTTAAAATAGAGTTAATGCAAATAAATAGTGACTACATATTAATCAGATTGTAGGTATTCACATTAACTTCAATATAAGTACAATGATGGGCTCTGTTTTCAGTCGGCCAGCGCCGTGCCTTCTATTGTTACGTCTACTAACCGTTACGAGGTCGTTATGCTTCAGAATCGCTATACAAATCGTTATTTAAGCACTTTGGTTTCTGTTTGAGAACAATTAAAATGTATATCACCCCCCGCAAGAACATTATTTTATGAGTACCTACCTTGGTTTGTTGTTATAAATTATAACCCCAAACCACTTCTTTGTCTAGGAACTGAAATGTATTTTCAAAGTCAAATGTCAAATGTTAATTAATAGGTCGCGGTAAGCTCTTACCGTCAAACAGGCCGTGCTTATTTTCCTTCGGATTAATATAAAAAATGGCAACATTGCTTTATCAGCTGTTTGTCGGACAATAATTAACGGCCGGAATCAGAGTCGTCAATTAAATTAAATGCTTCTCCGAGTGAGATGTTAATCTTGTTCCTCTAATTTATTTTCGTAAGAAGCGTTTTATAGTTATGGATACGGCATACGCGCTTTGGCAATACGAAAGTCAGGTAATTGCCCGACTAGCATTCAGTCTCTCGCCGCGGCTACACCTCGCTACAATGTGTAAATATTTAACGTTTTTCCATTCAAAAAGCTCTATGTATGTTTTTAGATTGTATACAAATTACACGGGAAGTAACAGAGACAAGAAAAACATGTCATTTCATTCGCAAGTACAGTTTTAAAGAAATTAATGTAAAAATATTGATTGAGTTATTTTGATTGTTGCTGACACCGTTGACATGTGGAGGCTAAAGAGCGAGATGCAATCTGCTTTATGCATGAGAATGAGAGAATACTTTAGTGTGCTCTATTGGCGGCTGTTGCCAAGGAAAATTCGGGCGGTGACTATTTGTGCTATATTAAAATGTATTAATGTTGAGGTATAACCTGTCTATATATTATACGTCATTGCTGGCTGGTCATTAATTGCTATTTTCTAGAAAAAAAAATAAACACTAAAATCACTTGGAGAACTTCTTTGTAACGAATAGATTCCATTCTATCTCACATGCCAAATAAATTGTGGGTATCCTAATTATTTTTAGTTAAATGTGCGCAACAAGTTGTATCCAATAAAAGTATAAACAATGTGCTAGCAAATGGAGCCCAATTTTGTGGGTAATTGATGCTAATGCCGACAATAATTATTTTTATGCGCTATGCTCTTGACACATGTTTTTCTAAAAATAGCATTTGTCATGTTTTTGGAATAACGTTTCAATGTTCTATCCCATTATCCTCTACGGACAGCTGATTTAATTATTATATCCATGAGGCGAGCTCGACATAGTATATTTCATAATTACTTAAAAGTCAATGATATTAGTACTAAATGCTCTAACGTTCTCTTCTTCTAAGCTTTGGAATTTAGTAGTGATTGTCTTAACGTAAACTTTATTGAGACGCATTTAGACGTTTTTCCTTCAGGATGTTTGTGAATACTTGCTAATATTTGACAACTGTTGGCGACAGTTCAAAAATCATGTGTCCTAGTTTAAAAGATTAAGACGAACTTCGTAAGACTTGATTAGGTAAAATAAAAGCTTTATCAACGTAACTAAATATTAATAAAAGTTTTATATTGTATCTAACCCCTCGTTTACACCAAGAAATAAGTCATATACTAGTTTTACACAAAACTGGTACAGTACTTAATTTGACTCCATAAAACACTATTTCGTTTACACTGCACACACAACTAACTACACTTCATCAATCAACTATACAAAAGTCAATGTCTTCACATTGTTTAAAATTTGTTAAATACATGTATTATGCCTTGATGAAAACGAGGGGTGAGATGTATTGTACATACACTTTTTGAAGTTTATATGTCACAAACATCACTATGTAACACGACTGTGGAAGCCAATGATATTTGAATATCGTTTGTAGATGAACGACCTAACGGACAATTTCTGCCTAACGAGTTTATTAATAAAGATGTACCCATCGCACAAGCTTGTAAATGCAAAAAAGTTCTGTTGACTATGAAGGGCCTAACCTCTTTGTTTGACTCTTACCACAAGAGTTGTGGTCTGGTTTGTCGCAATCATCCTTATTGCTGGCGGATGTTTCTGTACCCTTAGAAGGAGTTTTTACAATTACGAAAACTATGATAGTTTTCGTGAGCTCGCAATCGTACTAAGTGTACTGATTTTATTGTTTTCGTTTCAATACACATAAACAGTGTATAAATTCTAACATTAAATCATTTGCGTCTTCTTAAATTTTAAGTATATTTGGTAAATTTTCGCCAAAATGGACATAAAAAATTAGAAACATAATTTACAATTACGAAAACTATGATAGTTTTGGCGTGAACATTTAATTTTTATCCATAACAATACTATTCCGATCGATACCGATCAATCAATTTTGTAATCTACAATTCGTTATCAACAATAATATTAAACAACAAAGAGCACATGCCTGTTATATGTTTTTAATAGTATTAAAAATTATGTGTACGTTATTATTTCGTAAAAGCTTTTAAAATTTCAATCATTGTTTCAACAATGAATATGGGATTTAACCTTGTTATATCACAAAGAAGAGATAAGTACTTAGGAAGGTATCGCCTAATAGGCCTACAGGGTCTCAAAATGAATTAGTCTGTGTTTTTCACGTCTCAGGGAAGACTATTAGATTAGTCAACAAGTAAGATTATCCAACTTAAGGTATTACTTACAAATTAGAAAGTACATTTCCATACGACGAGACTGGTGTAGTGCCTTAAGTAATACATGTAAATAATGAGTCATTACAATTCTTCAGACGCTACATCAAAGTAACGTATTTGAATGTCAAGAAGAAATTAATACCTTCTAAGTTATAAGGAAAATGGTTTTAAAGTTATTAGTTTACGTGGAAAGAATATAGATGTGCTAATATGTAATTTTATTGAACATAAGGTAATTTAAGATAATATAAGTACTCTAACTAGGATTGCAAATACAGAATTTGAATGTGGATGAAAAAAAGGTAAAAGGAAGAAACGTGTATAATATAATGAAGAATGATTCGAATGAAAGGTGACATCTCTTATCTATTAGACAAGTCCGTCCGTCCGTCTGTCTGTGGTGCTGTTTCAGCGGCCAAACCGTAAGAGATAGATAAAGAGAATATTTAAGTTATAAGTTAAGAATAGTCTGATAAGACTACAAACCGGATTTGAGTAACGTAGCACTTCCGGTTTTCGAGAAATCACGAATTTCAAACGAAACCACACAAAATCTCAGAAGTTCTCAATTAATTAAATACATTTTTTTTTTTTTAATCAGGTTTTGGTGAACATTTGGTTGTATTGTTTTGTTTAAACCAAATGTTTTGTTTTGTTTAGATAGAGAGTGAGAAAAGACAATAATACCGATAGAAACTCGACAGTGCAGTAATAAGACGTGGATTTCGGCCGGATCAGCATTAGTCGATGGGTTATGGCCCGTTTTTCCCTTGTAAATCATTTATTCTTACAGAACGCTTATGCCCCTCATGGGACATAAATAGGCTGATGGTCTATACCAAATAAGAACTAGTCTCGATACTGTATGTTAGTCATGGACTAGAGCCCACTTACCCACGACCTCGTACTGAAAAGTAAAGTTAATTTGTATCATAGATCTATTATTCTTGGCAAAAAATCCTAAAAAGGGTCGCCACTGATGCGACATCGTCCACCTGTTTATAAATCGACTTTCATCAACATCTTGCCTATTAATGTCCCACTGCTGGGGCACAGGCCTTCCCTTTGGATAGAATAGGGAGATTGGGCCGTGCGTGACCCACTACACGAAGCCAGTGCTGATTGTTGTGTACTAAAGAATGCAAATGCAGTCGGGAGCAACGGCTTAACGTGCCTTCTGAAGCATTGAGATTTTAAATAAGTTAATTTTAAATTTTTGTTCACCCATTCGATGGCCGAACATTGCGAAAGTTGCTTAACTCCCACGATCACAGGCCACACGAGCTAACCACCTGCGCCATCGAGCTCCTCACAAAATCCACATTACTCCACCAGTATTAACTAAAGTAGCAGTGTAATTGTATTTTCTAACATATTTCGTTTGTTTGAAGCAGATGTCGGAACATCGCGAAACTCTTATACATTCACATGCTCGGCTATCCGGCCCACTTCGGTCAGCTGGAGTGTCTGAAGCTGATCGCCAGCCCGCGGTTCACGGACAAGCGGGTGGGCTACTTGGGTGCCATGCTGCTACTCGACGAGCGTCAAGATGTCCACCTGCTCATCACAAACTGCCTGAAAAAGTGAGTAGATCGATAGCTTTTATAATCTATACTAATATTATAAAGCTGAAAGTTTGTTTGTTTGATGAAGCACACTAATCTAATCTAAAAAGTATTGGTCCGATTTAAAAAAAGTATTTTTGTGTTGGATTCCATTTGAGAGCTTATGTTGGGTGCCGTACTTAAATACGGTAAAAAGTTACATAAAAACCATGTATGACGGAATGGTTCCCCTTTAAAAGTTCTATGGCAAGTCTATGTCTAATAATGTCTATCTTTTGAGGGCGACCCACTATAACCTTTTTCCTCAACTTAATGTGGGCGAAATCGCACGGCACCTCTGCGCGCCGCCTCGCAGTTTTCGTCGCGGTTCATGGACAAACGAGTGGGCTAACCTCTAACTTGGGTCACTTGGGTGTCACGCTGCTACATAAAGAGCGCCAGGGCGTCCACTTGCTCATTATAAAGTGCCTCAGAAAGTAGGTAACTAACTTGTATAATTAATTATGCTCTCGCTCTCGCTTAGCTAAACAATGTTGAATCAAAAGCAAAACTCCAACAAACAACTGTGATGATAGGTGCATAAAATTAAAATTGTATGAGACGTAAGTACCCCTAAAACCCCTTTTTACGTTAACCTAATGCAAAATAAATTCAAAGAATAGATTTTTTACCGATTTTATTGAATTGTGTAACAGAAAATGTATCCATGCATCAATGTCTAGACATCGTATTGATAATATATGACTTCGAATATTGATCGTTGGGAAATGGCTTATTTGTGCCTATATGTATTACCTTTTTTCTTCGCGGTGCTAAAAATTAGTTTTAAAGCATACTGATACAAAATTATAATGATACAAGTATCCTAGAATCGTATTAGTCCAGTCAACAAGTTCAAAAACGTGAAAAATAGAGATAAAGCTCCTAAAAATATGAGCAATAGCTCATTGGATTCGGAACGACCTCTAGAAAAATGAGTTTTGAGGATTTTACTGTACGTAAAAAATTGCAATTGTTATTAACAAAATAAGATGAAAAAAAAGAGGTATTTACGTTTTTGTTAATAACTCATAAACTATTAATATTTACGATATTTGGAAAAAAGGTCCTTAAAGAGGAGGAAATTTCCGAAAAAAAAGTCCCAGCTCTCGGAACTCTACCTCTATTATTTATAATTTTAATTTAACGCTGAAAATAGGGCTCCGCGCAGACATTACGGCATGGGCGCACTGCCGTTAAAGACAGTTTCTTACATAAAATTATGTTTTTATAGTAACAAATATGAATTTAAAAATTTAAATAAATTATGGTGTCATCCAGATACTTGAAAGAATATATTCCCGTTGGAAAATTTTTTTTAAATTAATTTTTCAAAAAGTTATGCAATTGTTAATTAACGAATTTTTTTCCTATCTCCGTTTTCATAAATGACGACATAAAAATTTAAATAATAAACCTATAAATTTTTGGCTCTGTGGAGCTCTTCTTATATATATACTTAACAAGATCCCGCGATAAAAGTTTATTAAAGTTAATTATTTTGTTTATAACAATTTTTTAAAGTTAACAAAAAATGATATCTAAGATGATGTCTAAGAAATGTTATTAAAAAAATTTTTTTAAACAAATGTTATATTATTGCTGCTTTCTTATCCAACAATGGCATTAAGTAACATCGGAAAAAAATGTTTTACATCATTTGTTAAGAAATTGTTTATAAACAAATAGACAAGTTTAATATTTAAAGAAATTTTTTTTTACCATTATGTTGTCTTGGCAAAATAATGATTTTTAAAAAAAAATGTTTCTTAAATAATTTTTTTTATTGTTTATAATTTTTTTTTTATATTTCGATTGTTTAAATAATTAGTCAAGGAATGATTTTCTCTTTAAAAATCATAATTGGCATTTCTTCATAGGTAAATAGAAAAAATATCAATAATATCATTGTTTGTTAACTTAACAATTTGTTATAAACAAATTCTAACTACCGTTATATTTTTTTTCTAGAGCTAAAAAAAATAGCAAAAACAGCCATATATATCAAAATACTAAAAAAAATATTTTTCTATTTTTTATAACGCTTTTAAATATTACACGATACCAAAGTTGCACCGGACACTTGATTTGTCAAGTAAAAAATTAATATAACTTATAAACTATTCGAGATACGATAATGGACATTCAGGTCGTTTTTATAAAGCATTAATTAATCTTCAAAATAAGCTAAAAACCAAGTTTGTAACTATTGTTTATCAGCTAATACATGCATTTGTTTATAAAAATTTGAGTTGAGCTTATAAACGATTATAAACAATAAAAAAATTTATTTAAGAAAAAATTTTTTTTTAAAAAATCATTATTTTGCCAAGACAACATAATGGTAAAAAAAAATTCTTTAAATATTAAACTTGTCTATTTGTTTATAAACAATTTCTTAACAAATGATGTAAAAATTTTTTTTCCGATGTTACTTAATGCCATTGTTGGATAAGAAAGCAGCAATAATATAACATTTGTTTAAAAAAAATTTTTTAATAACATTTCTTAGACTTTTCATTTTTTGTTAACTTTAAAAAATTGTTATAAACAAAATAATTAACATTAATAAACTTTTATCGCGGGATCTTGTTAAGTATATATATAAGAAGAGCTCCACAGAGCCAAAAATTTATAGGTTTATTATTTAAATTTTTATGTCGTCATTTATGAAAACGGAGATAGGAAAAAAATCGTTAATTAACAATTGCATAACTTTTTGAAAAATTAATTTAAAAATTTTTTTCCAACGGGAATATATTCTTTCAAGTATCTGGATGACACCATAATTTATTTAAATTTTTAAATTCATATTTGTTACTATAAAAACATAATTTTATGTAAGAAACTGTCTTTAACGGCACTGCGCCCATGCCGTAATGTCTGCGCGGAGCCCTATTTTCAGCGTTAAATTAAAATTATAAATAATAGAGGTAGAGTTCCGAGAGCTGGGACTTTTTTTTCGGAAATTTCCTCCTCTTTAAGGACCTTTTTTCCAAATATCGTAAATATTAATAGTTAATGAGTTATTAACAAAAACGTAAATACCTCTTTTTTTTCATCTTATTTTGTTAATAACAATTGCAATTTTTTACGTACAGTAAAATCCTCAAAACTCATTTTTCTAGAGGTCGTTCCGAATCCAATGAGCTATTGCTCATATTTTTAGGAGCTTTATCTCTATTTTTCACGTTTTTGAACTTGTTGACTGGACTATATGCGAGCCTCTTATAAGTGTCTCCGTGGCGTATCTTGCATACATTTGGGCTGTGATTCGTTACAAAACTCAATGATACTCCACAACAACTGTTCGGGCGAGACTCGCGTACGATACTGTATGTAATCTATTACTAACATTATATAAGGAGAGGTGTGTGGGGATATTGAGACATCGTCTTAGAGTAGAAATATCTTATTTTTATGCTAAAATCAACTAAATAATGGGGACCGCCCTAGATAGGAAGTGGCTACCATGTTGCAGCTGGTATCGTATTCTTCTATCCTGTGCTATGGAGTTCTGTTGACCTTATTTACTGCACTACAATATAAAAGTTTATTGACTGCAGTTTTCTATACCAAAGAGGTTTCTAAGGCGAGTGCTACAACTTCAGTCGAAATGTCTAGCAATCATAAAAGCAGTTATATTAAATAATATTTAACGTACAGTGCAGAGTTAACCGTCGTTATCTTAATGTAGTTGGTATAAGTGGGATATCACGACTAAAAATTCGATACTCTCATGACAGGCCACTGGCTCATAACAATCGATCAGCTATCACTCGGCCGATACAATCTGGGCGAAAACGCGCTTGGATTTAAGGTAGGTGTGGCTATATTGACGCGGAAGAATCCCTAAACGGGGATCCCGCGGTTTCGCACTAAGCAGCTTAGAGGGTATTTGCAGGGTTTTTAGCGGATATTATGCCGTAAAGCGCCCGTAAGAGTTACGGGGTCCTCAGTGGGCAGTCACTGTGGGGGTTTGTAATGTTTGCGGGAGCCAGGTGTGAGTTCTGTTCGGCGGTGTGCCTCTTAAAGGCGCCGTCGTCTGTAAACAGAGGTTTAGCCTGCGTCACAAAAAAAAGGTGTGGCTATATTGTATATAACCACACCTTTTTTTTTTGTTTGCCTTCTGATAGGTCGCATAATTTGATATTAGGTATACAAAGTCACACCGATACGATGTAACAGTACGTACGTCACTTTTTATGTCGTGTTGTCGTGTTCGTGACTTATTTTTTATTTCTGCTTTATTCCAATAAATACACTAGCGGCCGCCGCGACTTCGTCCACGATAATTTTAGTTAACTTTTGTTTAGTTTTTGGGAATCCCTCAGAAATCTCATAATTTTTGGGGTTGTAAAGTATCCTATGTCCATCCAGGTAATTAATTAGCTATGGCCTCCTTATTAAAAAACAAGGTATAAGCTTAGACTAGTTACGCCGTATTTTGTTCATATGACTCTAATGCCTTTTGTCAATCAATGAACAGAGACAAAACATGGAGTAATTAATCAAAGCTTAATCTTCATTTAATTGTACCAAATTTCATTGAAGTCTTGATTGAGTAACAAACATACAAACTTTCATATTTATTATATTATTAGTAGGATCTATTTCTAAAATATTTTCAGATACTATTCGTAAACCTGTTGGTTGATAGTTTATTACTGACATTCCTTCTACTGGTAAAAATATTTGTCCAAATCACAGATGTTATAGCTGCATAATTTATCCATACCACAAGCTCTGCTAAGCGGATTATTTAATCCAAAGAGCTAATGTGATATTTAACTGTTATTTTAACAATGTGCGTGCCTATAATGAATGTGATTCGATCGCCGATCGATATGCCTGGGCAATTAAGATAGTTAAATCCAAAATCAACGCTCTCAAGGCGATGCCGTGTTTTACGTAATACGAGCCAGTAAAGCAGGAAAATTATTGGCGTGTTTCACTGACCGTTTCGTATGGACCGATGTTAATTGAGGGGCTAATGCCTCAGGATTTGGTGATTCATGGGCAGAGGACATTGGGTTTAGTGATAACGTTTAATTTCGTAAAAGTACGACTACTTTGGTCGCTGTAATATGTCTCTTAGCGACCAAATATAATATGTAATAATTCCGACAATGTGTATTTAACAAATTAAATATGTAGGTGTAACAGATTTTATTTACACTAACCAAACATAGTATAATATTATCTGTATCTAAACGAAGTAAAGCCGTAGTTATTCGACTGTTTAACGAATATAAAAATCTGCTTGCTAATCTAACTATATGAGATAGATATTATATACATACATAGACACATCAATACCAATATTATAAATCGCAAGTAACTTTGTCTATTAATTAAAATTTCACGCTTAAACCGCTAAACCGATTGTGGTATCGACGTAACAATTATACCTCGAATAGGCTGTGTCTGATCATGATAATTAAAACTAAATGATAAAAAATTGTATGGAAAATCAACTGTATTTCGCTGATTATGTCGCGGACACATATTATTACATTAAGCATTTAGTTGGATTGCCCTAAAAACAATACTGACAAACAGTAAAACTACAATTTTTTTAGCTTTCCATTTTGGAATGATGGTCAGAGATAAATTACTTTCAAATTACATTCGTTACTACTGGCTAGGATCCAAAGTCTCCAAAGCCACAACCATAGGTTTATTATTCAAGTCCTAAACCGCAATACCAAGTGGCCTTCCATAGTGTATTCACTTAACTTCTGTAGGTACTATTGTTATCAACAAGTACAAAACAAAATAAACAGCTATTTCATCCATTTGTTTCTTATAATTTTCCATATCTAAGTAATGAATTTGCTACAGGCTGGAATTGTTAAATATAGCAAGGAGAGTTCTAATTATAAAGCTAGTAACTATAACGTATTTTAAATACGTTATCAGCGCAGGTAGGCAGGAGTAAGTATTAACAAATTGTTACGTAAACTGTGTTTGCCTTGCGAAACAAAAGGAACTACGATAATATAAACGCTACATATATAATGATGTAACTAAACAGCAGGGAGCTAGGTTTGCATAAATTTGCTGATAAATATGCGAACACCTGAACTTTATCGGCTTTCCTTTTTTCGTTGGCAACACGAAAGGATGTCGATTTTTTATTTATAGATTTTTTTCAAGTCCTTCTACGTGGTTTGAATCATTAACATTTGTGTTTCGACAACAAAATAAACTGAAATATAGAGCGTTTTATTCGTTATGTTTTCACAAGATAATTTTGTTAATACATCTTGAAAGTCAGATTAAAACTATTTGGAATATTTAGAAAAGAAGGCTGCCACTTGCTAGTATAGTTAGCCCTCCAGGGAAAAAAAATATGTATACACATAACTCCTAATCACAATTTTGTGCCAATGTAAAATTATGGATGATGAATTGAGCTCATTAAAAAAGTGTAAGGCACACAAAGTTTCTATAGAAGAGGACCGTATGGCTGAAAAGAATACATTTGGAGTATGAAATAATGATTTCTGTTAGTCACAGATGACCTTTACAGTGAACCTCGGTTCTAGTTGGCCTTTTTTGTGGGGGAGGGGCGAGGAATGCCTTTATTCCCCTTACTAAATTAAGAATAAAATAAACGCTCAATAAACAATAGTTAAGTAAATTGCGATATCTCGACGCGGAATTTCTTGATATCACAAGTCGTTGCGTCTTATTGCAATACTTACTTACATCTAACTTTTTATTATACATATTAGACTATTCTAAACCTGCATCACTCACCCTTTTAGGCCACCCTTTGCCTATTGGGTAGCATTTAATCCTTCCACTATCTCTTTCATTACACACTTATGTAAGAGATAGAAATAACCTTATGTCACACACATTGACACTTACTTAAGCTTTGAAATAAAAATTGCAGAAAATGGAATACATAAGTTTTAGTTAAACATCTGAGTTCCACGCACGAACTTTGACAGAATCGTATTGTCATCGTCAAATTTTGTATGGAAGGAGCCAGTTTGTTCTTACATCCGGTAGGTATTTTTCATAGAATTATAAAATATTTGGGTCTCTGCCCCCAGGACTCGGTCTCCACAAATGAAACTTTGCTGATTATCATAATTTGTCCACAGTGACCTCAACAGCAATACACAGTTCGTTGTGGGCCTAGCGCTATGCACCCTTGGGGCCATCGCTTCGCCGGAGATGGCGCGGGACCTGGCATCAGAAGTGGAGCGGTTGATTAAATCACCTAACGCGTACATCAAGAAGAAGGCCGCGTTGTGCGCCTTCAGAATCATAAGGAGAGTGCCCGACTTGATGGAAATGTTCCTGCCAGCCACGAGAAGTCTACTTACGGAGAAAAACCACGGTGAGACGACAGAGTTTTTGTATATGAAAAATTCCAAAAATTTCTGACTTTTTAGACTTCACTCACTTGACGTTGTATTGTGTGGATTGGAGTGAAGATAGCCGATTATGACATGCTAAACAAATTACACACCTAAAGATCGAGAAATACCGAAGGAACTTATAAATCGGAAAAGGCTGGATATCACCATAATACCAGTTTAAAATTATCACAGAACACGGAAACTTGTTCATTAGTTATTATGGAGGTAGTAATTTCATAATAAAGAAAACAAATAACAATGGAAATATTAAAATATATCGCCGAGAGCTCTAATTAGCTAACGCTGTGAAGTTCATCCAATCAGTGACCAAACAGCATTATGCACACTCAAAAAAAACGCAAACGGACCACTACAACAAAGCACTACTAAATAGTTTTAATAATAATGTTGTACTCAGCCCCATCAATGTTTTCACACAGGTGTCCTAATTACCGGAGTGACGCTTATCACCGAAATGTGCGAAAACAGCCCCGACACGCTCAACCACTTCAAAAAGGTGAGTTGTATCACTCTCTCTAATTATGTAAAATAGACCCTATTACCTACTACTTAAAGTGTATTATGAGCGCTCATAAAAGCGTTTCTTATTTATCCAAAAAGGTTTGAAAAGATGAATGGCACATTGATGCCAGGCTTACAACCCTATTACCTACTACTTAAAGTACATTATGAGCGTCTAATAATAGGTTAAAAAATATGAATGTCAGATTGATGTCAGGCTTACGCTGTGGCTGGTTGGTTGAGCTTGTACAAACTTCATATTTATCATATCCGATTAAGTTAGGTATGAACTTGCGGATGCTATTTTAGACTGTAAATAAACTTTATTTGTTATAGTTTTAAGCTCTTACCGTGAAAGTTAAGTTCGTTTTAACCAATACCTAATAGCGTCCCTACTCGCTATTCGCAAGAGTCATTTTTTTTTATTAAAGATGTTGATGTCACTTTTTTATGATAGCGATAGAATAAGACAACACGTCACTTTGACGACAATTAAATATAATTTACGTCTCTGAGTGTGGTCGTAAGTTGTGGTTTTTAATGTCTGTGTTAAACTCCCGTAATATATAATAATGAAATATTTCATGCTGAAATGTCTTTATGGTTTACGCTTAGCAATCACCTGACATGATTTATCATTTACATTGGTTGAAAATATGAAAACCACTATTGTTTAGTTTTATGTCTACACTGTTTACATTTTATAGCTGACATTTATTTACACAACACAATGGCATTTAAAATTTATATCTTAAAATATTGGCGTTTTTAGTAAAATCATTAAAGAATATGATAATATAAAAACATTTATTACATAATTGTGAAGTGTTGTTTGATGGTCATGATTTTTTAAAATCCTGATAATATAAATAAAAGAAGTTCGCTATAGTTGATTGAAAATATGAACAATATTTTATTTAACAGCAGTTGATTATAAACTTTGATAGTCGTAAAATTCTTGGTATATCGCCACTTTTTAAACTCAATAGTCTTTAAATTCTTTGCGAGTATTTTCTATAAAAAAAATGGGTGTTATTCATTTTTTTCCGTCCCACTGAATATCCGCCTTCTTGAAGTCAAATTAATTTGGATCCCTTTGACTAATATGCTAAGGTTACATTTACTACTATTTGCTTACACCAAATTGTCAAAAACGTTGTTATTGAATCCGTCCAATACTATGGAATTACTAACTGGCTACGTCTGGATATAACCCATGTTTACATAGACCGGGGCAACACGTCAGTACTGATTAGATTAGGGCCTTATAACTTTATCAGGTGCTGAACCTGCTACAGACGGATAGATAGCGATCATCATAACATAAAAAATAATGCATTTTGATTTGTGTAAAAAATTGTCCAAACGCGACCAGAAAGAACTAAGTGTTCCGTTCTTTTTCAAAAGAAAATTAACGTTTATTTTTGACGTGACAACGTCTTAAATTAGGTTGCGGCTGGGAGTCACTTATGAAAAAGTGTAACGCTCGGTAACGTTACGATGAGTCTCTCGTGTTAAGTTTAAGTTTACATGTACAATGTTTTAGTAAACAAAATATATTTCTATAGTTAAAATTTGTGCAATTCTTATTTTCATTCAATTCCTTGTTCCTATTGTGCAATTTAATTATATTCATATCAATAAATATTCTACCGAGAAAAAGACGTTGTCACGTAAAATCTTCGCCCGTAAAACCGACTTTACAGGCAACCATTTTTTTAACTTACTTTATTTGTTACGGCGAGAATGGAATCTTTACCAGTATGTTCAATATTTTCTGTCCTAATTTTTCTTTAGACATAAAGATATACTTGAATTTTCAAATAGAGTATGATTATTGATAATAATAAACGATCAATTTTCAAAAAAACTATTTGCTTAACACACATTATTGATTTATACACAACTAATAACCTCGACGACCTCCTCGGCCGAGTGGTTTGTACGCCGGGTTTCATGGTGTCGCCGGCTCGAGAGGTCCGGGTTCGAATCCTGGTGGGTACAGATGTTTGTGTCATGAATACGAGCATTTGTACTCTATTCATGGATGTTTAATATGTATTTCTATATAAATATACTTATATATTTACAATATATGTATTCTATCCGTTACCCTAGTATCCCATAACACAAGCCTTACAGTGCTTACTTTGGGGCTAGGCTAATTGGTTTGAGTGTTAAAAAAAACACAATTTCCAAATACCATAACATATTAATGCTTGGCTATTCATAACTCCGAAATCATTTGTTCTTATCATCGTATAAATCATATAATCCGATGGACAGTATGATAGCTGACATAAAAACATTATCCGCTAGTGTTCACCTATCGTGTTTCGGTAGAGACATGGACAAAGTTATTTTTACTCCTCTTATAATGAGTCATTGACTGATACTTTTTTCAAATAAGCTGATCTCATTATATTCGGTAACTAGAATAACAGTGAAGTTATAACGCTAATTAAGTTATAGTAGTGGCGGTAAAGTTATAGTATCACATGTATACTAATATTATTAATGCCGAAATAGACCCTGTTAGTGTGTCTGTGTAACATTGTCACAATTTTGATGATATTAAAGAGATAATTGATTTTGATGAAAGTCATAGAAAAGTGCTAAGGACCTGTACGGAGAACGAGTATTCCACGTAGTTCTGGGAAACAGCCGATCTATTCGCTAAATTTTTAGACATTTATACATTTTTCTGTCATTTTTAATTGCGTTATAACAAAGCAGTAGTGGATCATAAATAGATTGGTGATTATCACTTCCATCTGTCAAAAGCAATAAGCGAATAGGCCTATTGGAACATAATATTTGACAGCTAACTCCTCTTTTAAAGTTGATTAACGATGTGTGTATCTATGTATATGTACGAATGTATAATGAGAATCTACACCAATTGTAAAATGTAATTTCAAATACCTAACTTTATCACAAGTTTACGCCCCTTGCCACCTTAATTAAACTAAGAGTACGAGTATTATAGGTAGACCGCTTAACTAAGTCCTCGCCTGCGGGTCGTGTAGAGTTTTAATTGTAATGATTATGTATCTACAAAATGTAATATTATTTTATATTACTATCCTTATATAGACATTGCATGCTGATATTAACCTATAGTTGTTATTTTCGAAGAACATCTTACAAACTTACTTAGATCCGTCTAATTAATTTAATGCTCCAGTAAGCCACGTGTTGTCTTATTCTATTGTTATCGCAAGATAAGTGATAGCTTTACCTTAAGTCCAACTTGGCCATAGTCAACGCCATCTTTGGGGCCAACATATGGACGCGACGGCCATAACTTTGATACAACCAAGGTGCCAAACCTTTTGAGCTGCATTGAAAAACTTACGACACACGCATCTATATTCAACGTTCGTGCAAACACTTTGAAATCACCCTTTAGGCTTCGGCTACACCCTATCCGTTATCGGCCGATCTATGCTAGGGTGCCATCGGCCGAATTAATCAAACGTCAAAATGTATGAATTTAGTCGGGCGTCATTGGACTATGGCGGTTCGGCCGTGTTTGTCCGATAACGACCAAGCATAGTTCGGCCGATAACGGATTTGGTGTATCCGTAGCCCTATAGTCGACACGATGTAAATAAGGTGTTGGCAAGGATACTGGCCAACGCGTAAAGCCGGTATTTAGATTCAGCCAAATGAGAATGTAGCGTAATTAAGTTGGATATTACTCGATATATATTATAGAACCTTTGATCCTCCAAACCTTCCAAGTTTACCGCGTGAAGCTATGTATATAAGAACCGTGTGTGAAATAGAGTAACTAATGGTTTGTTTGTGTTGTCCCGTAGGAGAGCGGGCAGCGCGAGGTAATCACAACCGCTGATGCACTTGACAAAATATTCCACTCGATGACTCTGTATTGTAATCGCGATGTAAATCTAGAATAATCTTAAACATTTACCTACATAGAAACTTACTGACTCGACTAAACTTATTATATATTATAATGCGATAATGAGTCATAAGGAAAACAATAGATTCAATACCAGATATTGATATAATTGTGCAACGTCATCGCAGTTATAATAAAGGTCGTATTACATTACACAGAATTCAGGATGGTAATTTCATGAAGTTTGTAAGACGGAAACCTGTTCAATGGCTAACTTAAAATCCTGAATAAGGATCCTAAATTCAGTATGTAATACTTCCTTCAAGCATGAATGTTACTGTACTGTGTCACTGGCATCTGTATTTTACAGGTTTTATATCCAAAGCTTTTAAAGAAAGTAAACTTTTATGTATTAGTTATCTCGATCCTTTGATTGGGTATATGTATTTTGAAACAAAAACCACTGTATAAAGTGGTTTCATATACGGCGAGAAGACTTATTGTATCGTCATCGTTTGAACTTAAAATGATTTCCTAACCTTTTGTAACTTTCTCAAAAGGGCAAGACAACAAGCCTTTACTAGTAGAATAGCCTGCCTGATGATAATAGCCTCTACTCCTTCGTCCAACTGCGTTTCTTACACGAGTGTTTGATTAAATTAAAAATACCCAATATGGGTAGCCGTTAGAACACCTCCTGTCGCTCATGCCTCCAGCCTCATCCAGCATCCTATAAAGTGAGATTGACTAATATAATCAGCACGAATTTTTTTTTATAATAATTCCTACCTTCCTCTATTATGATGTCTGCTGTATTCTCCGCGGATAATATCACTCTGACCTCGCTGTATATGAGATGACTACCTATCTTGGTTAGTAATCCAAAAAGCTTTGGATATAGGTTTATAAATCATTGGGTTGAGACAAGTCATATATGAGTAGACCTAGCATCTATACTATACATATAGTGTGCATTGCACTGTAAATTCGAACATTATGTAGGTAGATAAAACTTTCTGAAAGTCATCTGTATTATCCTTCTACACGTACTAACGTTTTGAAAAGAAAATCACATGACTGAGTTGGCACATATGTGACTAATATGCAAGGGAGTGAGTGTTTTGCGAATTTGTTTTGATTTTACTTATTTATTTTTAACTATGTAACATATCCAGAGACCCATGTTGTTTATTATCGCTGTCGTATACATGTTTGGTAATTGCCTTTTAATTTTGTAACAAGTACATTGAATTATCAGATCATGTCAAAAGTATTTAGATACCTATATAGTATTTTGGAAAATGCATATTATGCCTGAAATGTATATTGGTTGTAAAGTAAAATTTGATATCCTACTTTCGTTTTCTTTTTCGCTTTGCTGATTATAATTTCTGTGTGCATTTGGGCAAATGTTTTATGGTGCTGTGTATTATGGCGTGTATGATAAGATATGCTTTATTGTAGATCGTGCCCAACTTGGTGAGAATACTGAAGAATTTAATTCAGGCCGGTTATTCACCGGAGCATGACGTCAGCGGGGTCTCAGATCCATTTCTACAGGTAATATTTTATTATGTTTTGGATGGACTCATCTCTTCTAGGCTTGATCCTGATATATTCTCGTGTGAAGTTTATTTTATATATTTAGAATAACATATGTTATCTGAACTGATTACACAGTCACTTTTATTAATTGTAATAACAATGATACACAATCGCAAGCTTTCAGATTATTTTTAATTGCAAGCTTTTTTTATTGATCACAGATTTGATTGATTCAATATCAATCATAGCCAATCTTTACAGTGATATATTTATTTTTTACAACCTTTGCATTCACGGTGCTTGAGTGTTAGATAAATAAATTCTCTAAAAGCAACATTGGCTCAGGTAACTGCTTAATAAGCAAATATACAAAACATAGCACAAAAAAAAACAATAGTTCACACATCACTCGTTTACCAATATAATTTAAATAATTTTAATTTACAAAAACTTCGCAACATCCCTCAGGTGAAAATCCTCCGCCTGTTACGGATACTAGGTAAAAACGACGCCGATGCGTCCGAAGCGATGAACGACATACTAGCTCAAGTGGCAACCAACACTGAAACCAGTAAGAACGTGGGCAACACGATTCTGTATGAGACAGTGCTTTCCATAATGGACATCAAGTCAGAGAGCAGTCTGCGAGTATTGGCGGTCAATATCCTAGGACGGTTTCTGCTAAACAATGATAAGAACATTCGCTACGTGGCGCTCAATACGTTGCTTAGGACCGTGCATGTTGATACTTCGGCCGTGCAGAGACATCGGACCACTATATTGGAGTGTTTGAAGGTAAGTTTTGTTTTCTTAACTCTTTTGATGGCGTATCCTCAATAACGACCAGTTTTCTTAATAATCGACCTCCAGTAAAATTTAATGTTAATCTGATTCAGTTTTTTAGCAACAGTTATTATTATCTAAAAAAGAAAAATATTTAGGCAACAAAGCTCTTTATAGATTTTCTATTTCTGGTTTGATTAGTAAAACTGGCAATAAAAGCTGAGCAAGAGGCCCAGAGCTTACTTTTCAAGATGTTTCTCAATTAAGTAGTTCAAAATACTAGGGTTGCTAAGAAACGTAACCTAAGATGACTATTTATCTAACTTTATCTCTTTCTTTCTTGTCTCACATCCTTTCTACTGCAAATAAAGAATCATGCTCTGACAAATTAATTAATATCTATCTTGTGGCAGACGGGACTCGACTTTTTTTCTAGTAAAATTTACTTTAGATTTTAATATCTACTAGCATTTAAATGCTTAAAAATATAACTAATACTTATCTTACTTTCACAGGACCCGGATGTATCAATCAGACGGCGGGCCATGGAGCTATCGTTCGCTCTGATTAACGGCCAGAACATCAGGAGTATGATGAAGGAATTGCTTACTTTCCTCGAGCGGTCCGATGCTGAGTTTAAAGCTCACTGTTCTAGTGCGATGGTGCTTGCGGCTGAAAGACACGCGCCCTCGAACAAATGGCATTTGGACACACTGTTTAGGGTGTTCCTCAAGGTTGGTTATTAGGACCAGATTTGTTTATCGTCATATTGTTTTTATTTGACAGATCACGTTTCTAGAGCGATCGGTTTTGGAGTTCGAAGCTCACTGCTCTAGAGCGATGCTGCTGGAGTTTAAAAGAGATACCCTCTACCCATATAAGACGCATACAAACAAATGGCAACAGAACACCGTGTTTTAAGTGTTCCTTGGGGTAGGTTAATGGGACCAGGTTTATTTCATATAATCATAATTTATCATATGCGGAGTTTATTTACACTGCTCTGATATGCTGGTGTTTCTGGTGGAAAGACACGCGTCATCAAAGGCATATATGGAGACAACAATAGGGATGATGACTAATTTTTTTTTCTTCGTTTACCAGGTAGATTATCAAAAAGTATTGGACACGTATTTTTTCTTTTTTCACATAATATAAACATTGCAGAGATATATTGATTTGAAAAGTCGCATGACGTCACGTTTGAGTACATTTATAAGTGAAAATTCACTCAAAAGTGACGTCACGAGCCCCTACTCCCAAACTTTAACGCGCTATAACTTTGTCATTTTTTGGTTGATTGCTCAAAGAAAAAATACGTGTCCATTATTTTTTGGTCATCTAACTGACGGACTAAATAGAATTTCGTTTACTGTACCCCGTCACCATCCCTATTGCTAGGGTTCCTCAAGGTGGGTTATTAGGGCCCATTTTATTTAACATGATTATTATATTCAGTACGATATGCCCCTTTGCATTTTGTACTATTCTAGTAAAATGTTATAAAACTATTCATTTATTTTGTATTTTAAGTACCTAGTGATATTGTCATATTTTAAATGCGGCATAAACTAAGGCTTTATTATTATCTTGCAGGCGGGCAATTATCTCCGCGACGACACAGTTTCCAGTACGATCCAGATAATCTCTGCGGCCGCGGCCGAGAGACAAGCGTACGCTTCTATGCGTCTATGGACAGCTCTAGAACAATCCGCAATCTCTGGATTGGCCACTGAGAGACAGCCGTTAGTGCAGGTACTTATACTATAGACAAGATACGGGTAGATAAACCATTGACAAGCGTTCGCTTCTACGCGTCTATGGATCGCGCTATAACAATCCGCTGTCTCTGGGCTGGCCACGGAGGGACAGCCACTAGTGCATATAGATTTTTTTATTACCCACCATACCCATTTCTAGATTACCCACGACTTCGTCTACGTGGAATTAACTGATGCATGATTTCTAGGATAAAAACTATCCTTTGTACTTTCCCGGACTCAAACTATCTCTTTACCATATTTCGTTCAAATCGGATAAGTAGTTAAAGCGTGAAGAGGTAACAAATAGACATATACACTTTACGTTTATATTATTAGTATGGATTTACCTTTTCCTACTCCGCAGTAAAATAAATACGGAAATATAAATGTTAGGGAGAAACCAAAGTTATCAATGCGCACTTAGCATTGATTTTGGGTAACACAAACGCTTTCTCTCAAATTATTTTTAATTTCATTAAAGTTACTCCTCAGCCCCTTTGCTTTCTATGTATAAAACTAGTCCCCAATCTTTTGAGCTGATTCATCACCACCAGCCTGTTAATGTCCCTACTGCTAGGGTTAAGGCCTTCCCCATTCGTGGAATTGGAGATTGGGCCATGACCCATCACGCGGCCCCAGTGCGGATTGGTGGGTGCTAATGCAGCCGGGACCAACGGCTTAACGTGCCTTCCGAAGCACGAAGGAGCTCGAGATGATAAGATTTTGGTCACCCATCCATTAACCTGCCTTTGCCAAAGGTGCTTAACTTCCACGATCGCAGGCTGAACGCGCTATCCGCCTGCGCCATTGAGCTCTTCACTGCGTGCTACATTTGAGCTGATTACAGCACAATTAAAAAAATTTAAAAGTCAAAGTCAATAATTTAACTCAACTTTGTTTCCAGGTCGCTGCGTGGACGATCGGAGAATACGGCGATTTATTAGTATCGGAAGAAAGCAACGCTATTTCAATGGCAGATGAAGACGGATTTGGTAAGATAAGCGTTTCGTTAAAGTAAACATACTAGGGTTGGTAATACAAAAGCATCCCAATGTGCCAATTTGCTTAATGAGGGAATAAAAATAAAATTATTGTCATTTTATTCACAAGACAAAAAACAGAGGTAAAAGAATTAACATTCAGCAGATCACATAAACACTCAAATATTATTAAACTTCTAATCTCAAAGATTATTATCGACTGCAAAATTGGATCAAAATATTGAAATGTATAAAGCATATATATAGCAATGCAAATTTTATCATAAATGGGATTTCCCATTCATAACTATACATCCCGGCAAACTTCTTGAGCAATGGCCATAGATAAGGAAGCCTTCGCAAGTTTATTTGTCTGTGGTGTTGTTTAAGAGGTTTGCCGCTACCATTAGCCCTCTAATAGTTGCGTCGAATTGTACACATTGACTATTATTATTTTTCCTTGTCCAGATGAATTCACGCGGCCTTCAGAAGAGTACGTGATAGACATCTATCAGAAGCTGCTTTGGTCAACACAATTGTCTATAACCACCAAGGAATATCTACTTCTGTCCTTGGCCAAGCTGTCCACCAGGTTTACAACGCAGCCCAGTCAGGAGTGAGTCATATGGCTATCAATATAAATGTTAAAAAAATCTCTTGTTACCCTGTTTGTTATCGAACTCGTCAGAAATGGCTTTACCAATTTTTATGAAATTTTTCGTGTACCTATTTCTAGTAGGTCTGAGAATAAGCCTTAGGCTTTTTTTTAATACCTCTACAGGGTAGAACTCTCCAGGCTTTTTTAACTATTATTTGGACTGCATTTTTTTTTATGAGTTGGTATCAAAAAAACTTTTAACCCTTAATTTTCACTTTTCTACCATCAACTCCACTTTTTATTGTGGTACGAAATTTGCTGGATTAGCTAGAGATATATTTCAGAAGATGCTTGAATTAAAGCACCATATACAGGGTGGTCCAATTAGTGACGTCGACAAATTTTTTTTTGGATTCCTCGCACCTGGGGTATCCGAAAATACCCCATGTATTTTAGCCAGAAGCTATGGAAACTCCTTTTTGTATTTTTAAATTGAAGTTGAATGTTTGAGTAAATCCTACTAAAAACTAAAGTTCCAACTTTCATGCCTTTTTTGAGTAACTTTAAGTAATTTCAGGAAGCTGATTTATTTTTTTTATTAAAACAACATTCAAGACAATTATGTCACAAAAAAATACGGCAAAATACTTAATACGAAAAAGATATGAATTTTTGAAACCTCGTAGGTAGAAATAATTTAAAATATACAAAAAAAATATAACTCGAAAACTAAGAAAAGTCGCGAAACATACATGGGGTATTTAACACGTCGTCTTAATCAACGTTTGGCGGCCTCAATAACAAGAAAAATACTCGTTGTGATTGGCTAAAATAATAAATGAAAATATGTATCAACCAATCGTATTAAAAATTGTTTCTATCATTTGGTTTTTGTTACAGCAAAATACGAGTAATCATAGACACATTTGGATCTCACATTCATATCGAATTACAACAAAGAGGCGTAGAGCTATCCCAGCTATATAGGTAAGTTTGACTAAATATTATAATTGAGAAATATCAAAAACTTACGTCTTTGCTGATCGGATCAACACCGAACCCATACACCATATTGACACTGACGGCAGTCGGCATAATTACAAGGTCGGAGCTGCCTTCGTGGTGCATAAGCCGGAAAGTCTAAAGTGGATGGGATTTAGCAACCCTAAAGTGCAAACAACAGAAGACAAAAAGAAAGATAGTATGATATAACCTAATGTCGTTCTTTATTGGTTTTGTGGTTTCGCTTGACATCGTTTTCACATTTATGAACCTTATGAATGTTTTCAAAGCGTCTAATATTAACACGTTAACATTCAACAATATGCTGAAAACTAAAGAAATAACATCTATAGTTTGCCTAAATATTGATATAATTCCGACACTTCACCTTGGATATTTGTGTTTATTTGCTATTTATAAACTTGACAACAGTCTGTCCTTTTCATTCCTTATAAAGCATGATAAGGACAGAATGTTGTCAAATTTAGAAATAGCAAACACGAATAGCCAAGTGGAGAGTCGGCATTTTAAGATTAGTATTAAATAACAATGGTTGTTAATAGACTAAATCAATATAAGCCATGGAGGTTAGAGAGAAGGAGAAAGATCGTTACGTACTAAAGCTGCCCGTCTATCCCTGAAAATTTGTAGAATTTATAGTTCATTTTTCAGCCACTAGCCGCGCTGCCGTCGGTAAATAGTATCTGTGAAGTTAGCTGTTTATGAGTACAAGTAGATGAAGTTAGTCTAATATTGTACAAATTTTCTTCGCGGCATTGGTCATTTCAAATTAGCCCGCTTCTATTGGGACAACTTAGCGATCGCAGCGCAATACTTATTTTGTCCATATTTCTGGGACACTATTTACTACAGAGATCGTTCTTCTTACCTCTAACCACAATGGTGTAAGCTTTCTGGAGCTAGAAAATGACCTTTATTTTTTTATGGTTTGTGTTATAGACAATACGCCCAACTACGGCCTGCGTTATTGGAAAGAATGCCGGCGATGGAAGCGGCCGCGCCTCGTAGAGACGACAACGACAGAGAGCCCAGCCCTGAGCCTGACCCTGCCATACACCAGGTTATATATCATTTATTTATATGTATACTATCTAGCTAACCCCCCCCCCCCTTGTTTTTTGAGAATTCCTTAGGAACACATTTTTAGGGTTCCGTACCTCGAAAGGAAAAAACGGAACCCTTATAGGATCACTTTGTTGTCCGTCCGTCTGTCAAGACCGTTTTTCTCAGGAACGCGTGGAGGTATCAAACTGAAATTCATATCTAATACTCATGCCTACTGTCCCTTGGAGCTGTGAAAAAATCAAACTTCTAAGCCAAAGGAACCAAAAGATACAGCCGTATATGCCACAAATTTTCGAAACTCCCACGGTATTAAATTGAGTTTGTACGGTACCCTCGGTGCGCGAGTCCGACTGGCACTGGTTTTTTCGAACAAAAAGTATTGTATGTCTCAATTCCGGTCATAAACTATATCCCCCTTATTAATAGACGAAGAAAAAGATTAGTGACACCGTGTTTTGTACTTATCACAGAAATTCCATTTGTAATTCGATGAACAGAGACAAAAAATAGGGTAACTAATCCAAGCTTATGCTTCGTTTATTAATAAAGGGGTTAGAGTATCAAATTTCGCCCAAATCCATTTTGTAGTTTTTGCGTCATTGAGTAACAAACATACAAACTTTCACATTTGTAATATTAGGTATTTTCATATATTTTCAATATTATTGACTATGACATTTCGATCTGGAATGCGCCCCTTTAGTTTACTCGGTTTCCACGAAAAATAATCCAAAGTTTACAAAAAACAAGCAAATGACCCTTATTAGAGCGTAAATACTTGTCCTCTAGGAAGGACATTAATTTTTAAAATCGAACAAAACTACATGCTATGAAACAAACACTAAACTTTCAAGATAATTATGTATTTGTATTAATAATATCATTATTAGTTCTTGCAAGTTTCACCCATGCTAAAGTAATTATTATAAAACATACTTAAGTGCCGGTATGACGGGTCTGTCTAGGTATACTTTAGGGTGATGTCTGCTAAAAGTTTTTCGTTTGTATCACAAAAAAAAATATTAAACAAACGGTAAAATAGCTTACAAAACCATAAAGGCACGGAGTCTAAATCATAGAGGTACAAGAATAGAGTGGGCAAGGCGGCTCTAAAAGTGTCCATCTAGTAGAAGAGAAAGAAGCTGAGAGACGGCTAGCTATCTCTCTCTCTCGTGTGACGCGTGGCATCCAATGGCATCATATCGAAATAGTATGATGCTTACGGTTGCCAATGCGCATGCGCGATTAGAGAGAGAAAGCTAGCAGTCTCATCTTCTTTCTCTTTCTATTAGAGGGACACTTCCACTTGTAGTAAATTCTATATCTCCCTTACTCTATTCTTATACCTCTACGGTCTAAATTAAGTTCGTTTTGTGTTTACAGCAAGACGCGCTGTTGGATTTGATCGTTGGCTCGGAGCCCCTAACCAACGGGGACGCGGAGCACAAGACTACGCCCAATCTCAACAATAACACCAACGTAAGTATCCAACTTGACTTTTTAATACTACTAGGCCTTCGATGCGACTTCTTCCGCGTTAACTTTTTTTTTTTGAAAATCCCTCGGGAGCCTTACACTTTTCAACGATAAAAAGTATCCTATGTCTCAATTCTCGCGGCGTACATATTATATCACCTTCGATATATATCGAATGAACTGGGTTTTATCGTAGAAAAACTATTTTGCCCTATTCTCACCATGTCCCAATAGATATTAATTTATCTACGGATGATCTTACATCGACTGGTAAAGAGCCTTCGATATATAAATATTCATGGATCTTGGCTTGTCAGTCATGTCACTTTCACTTTTTTACCTATTATTTATTCTGTGCTGTCGTGTGTGTTATTTATTGCCAATGTTATTTTACAGTAATTTCCATAGTTTCTGCAATGGTGAATTAAACTAGATACAAAGAGAAATTATATGTTTCAAAACCCCACTTCTCTTTTAACGTGACAAATAATAGTGACAAGTAAAGTTATGAATGACCTTTTCTTATTGACGTTTCATTATACTTAACGTTGCAAAATTATATACGCATACAATTTAGGAAAAGTTGAGATTTCATATACTCAAAAAATTTTGACTCATATTTAATATGAATGACATTCATAAAATATCATTCAAAATACTGTTTGAATTTATTATAATTTTGTATCGACTATGATGTTAACTTAATCGAGAAAAAAATAACGCATTCGTCAGTGAACGAATGTTTACGCGAGAATAGCATTTTTTAGTCAGTCAGTATCAGTAGATATTTTCAATAGATATCCCTACGATATTATCTCGATGCCGATATAATATCTACGCCGCGAGAATTGGGGCCCAGCTTATAAACTATATGCATACCAAATCCGTTCTGTACCTTTTGCGTGATTGAATAAAAAACACTCACATTTATATTAACATTCACATTTATATTATAAACTTGGGCAGTAGAAGTTTTCTTATGTGAAATTGCTGCTGCGCTGACTTCGTTGCTCGAGAAGTTTGCCGTGAGGTATACAACATTTTTAATTAAGAAACTCTTTGAACGAAACAACTTAAGCAAAAAAAAACCTTTTGCCACTAAATCCCTGTTTTCCAATTCGTTATATAGTTAGAAATCATCATTAAGTCGCAATACGGAATGTGCATGTAATTCAAACAAGGGATTTTTTTTTTATATATAAACTCTTTAGTACTTATATTATTTAGTTTCAAGTTGTCAAAACGATAGAATTAAAACGGGTCGTCCGGGTCTATGCTTTTCCGCCATCTAACGGGTTCTCAAAATATGACACCCTCGATTTTCACAAGTTCATGACATGCGTCATCTACACATCCGAACACATTTATCGGCCCGCCTATTACTTTAAGTTTAGACGGTCCCTAGCTAAAAATAAATGTTACATTGAGCAAAAAGTTTTACGCAGTTTTGAAGCTGATTAAAACAAACGTCTTTTATGTGTTTTTTAAAAAAAATATTATAATATTTTTAGATAATATTTTTAGAGAGAGATATCTCTGCTACAGACCGTTAAAACTTATAAAACTAAGTAGGCCGATACATGTATCTGGAACTTAGATTAAAACAATAAGGCAAGATACGGTGCGCTCATACCAGCATCAAATAATATATGATCCGACTCGACTACATAAGCAACTCTCACACACGCACACGTCTGTATACAAACAATCAATCGAGCGAGCGAGATAGAACTGTACGCTTCTGAGTCCGTACGGCTGAGCAGTATTGTTGTCCTTTACTTGATAATAAAATGGCGATTACGTAAATAACATTCACGACAAACCGTGATTTTTGAGAAAAAGATGTTTTACAGTTTTACGAATGAAAATTGTTGCCGAGGCATTTGTTATTTGATTTGAACCATTTGTGACTTTATAAAAACATCGAAGCCATTGTATTATCTTTATAACACAGAATATACGCAATCTTGTTATATTGAGTGCACATGCAGCGTGTTTGAATGTTCAATTCTGACTAAAGCGGATTTTGGTCATGCACCACAATTTAAGCGGATCACTTTTGTGCCGCAAGTGCCGTATCTTCCCTTTTTGTTTTAATCTAAGGTCTGGAAGTTATCTTAATGTAGCTCTGTAGTGTATGGATATAATGTAACTTTATCATTGTTTGCCATAGGACATCCTGGACCTATTGAGCGGGCTAGATCTATCAGGCACTGCCCCCCCTTCAGTTCCCGCTACAGTTGCCGCGTCTGTTCCCGCGCCGGCTACTTTACTACTGGACGGACTGTTCAGTCCCGCGCCTCATATACCACCCGCAGGTGATTATAATAATGAACCCGGCACCTGTTGAGCGGACATTTTATTTTTATTTTTGAGTGTATGCTGTTGGTCGCAGATGACCTTTACATCGTCACCGGGTTTGGGGACGGCGAGATCCTAAGGGGACCTCAAGCCGAGAATTGGCGAGTGCCTCTAGAGGTATTCCTGGCGGATGGCATCTCCCTACGGGAGGAGTCTCCTCCGTCTGGAGCCTCTAAGCCACTCGAACCTGAGGGGGTCTGTGAGATTCGGACCTCGGCTCTAGTTAGCCGTTGTCCTGGTGGATTGAGCGTACTAGATCTATCCCCCACAGGTGATTATAATAATGAACCCGGTACCTATAGAGCGGGCTAGATCTATCCCCCGCAGGTGATTATAATAATGAACCCAGCACCTACTTAGCGGGCAAGATCTACCCGCAAGTGAATACAATTATGAACCTGGCACCTATTGAGCGGGCTAGATCTATCCCCCGCAGGTGATTATAATTATGAACCCGGCACCTACAGAGCGGGCTAGATGTATCCCCTGCCAGTGATTATAATAATGGAACCGACACCTATTGAGCGGGCTAGATTTATCAGGCACCGCCCCTGCTACCTTACTGCTGTGCCGCGTCTCATACATCCCCCGCAGGTGATTATAATAATGAACCCGTAATATTTGTAAAGGTATTCATTTGACATTGTGGGTTACCTACAATGCGAAGAGATGGCGCTGCCTTGCAGCCTAAGTCTAGAGAGAATTCGACACGGCCATCAGGGCCGCGGTAGCATAATGGTCAGTGCATTCGCCCGGATAGCGAAGGCTGCGGGTTCGAGTACCGTCTGCTGCCTGGTCTACGTGGATTTTTTTCTAGTATAATTTTCTTTAGATTTTAACATCTATCAGTTATTTGCTTAAAAAATAAATAGTAGGGGAAACTACCCAATCATTGGTACTCTTCCTATTATTGGCACTTTTGAGTTTAGTTCGAAAAAAACAGGAAAAAATAGATTATAGGAATAATGCTGCCAATTTTCAAATTTCGAAACCATACTAGGTTTTTATTTTTGATATGTAACGACCTTGAATAATCTATTGTCTCCTTGTTTTTTTCGAAATAAACTCAAAAGTGCCAATGATTGGGTGGTTTCCCCTATAACTATATTGAAATATGTTCATTATTCGTTCACAGAAGTATCAACAGTGACTGCATTGGAGAAGAACGGTCTTCGCGTCATTCTCGAAGTGGAGCGATGGCCTGCTAGCGACGGAGTCACTCTCACGATGCGGGCCTCGTCACTCGCTACCCTCACCGATTTCCTGTTCCAAGCGGCCGTGCCCCGGGTAAGTCGTGTGTCTGTCTGTCTGCGATGTAAGGGGAATATCTATACATATAATAAAATGGTAGGAAAGTCAAAACTGTACATTGAATATTTTTTTAAAGAATACATGGGGTGTGATCTACCATTGATACCGAAACCAAAAATATAGTTTTTAGAATTTTTGTCTGTTTGTATGTTCGGGATAAACTCAAAAAGTACTGCATGGATTTACTTAAAATTTGGCACGAATAGTATTAAAAAGTCGGGTCGCCTACGGGGAACGAACAGTGAACCTTTATTTCTAACTCCACACGTACGAAGTCGCGGGCGGCCGCTAGTAAGGGAAATACTGTGACAAGATCCAGGCGGCCGTGCCCGGGTAAGTTGTGCGTCTGTCTGTCTACGATGTCACGGGAATATAAGGGGAATACTGTGACTGCATTGGACATGATTCAGACGACTGTGCCCGGGTAAGTCTTCTGTCTGTCTGTCTGCGATGTAAGGGGAATATAAGGGAAATATTGTGGCTCCATTTGACATGATCCATCCATGACGTCACAAACCCCCACTCCTAAACTTAGACGCGCTTAAACTTTGTAATTTTTTGGTTGATTACTAGAGAAAAATATTTAAATATAAATATTTTCAACACTCACACCAATAAGCCTAGCCCCAAAGTAAGCACTGTAAGGCTTGTGTTATGGGATACTAGAGTAACGGATAGAATACATGTATTTTACATATATAAGTATATTTATATAGAAATACACATCAAACATCCATGACCTGAGTACAAATGTTCGTATTCATCGCACAAACATCTACCTCCAACTGGATTCGAAGCCGGGACCTCTCGAGTCGGCAACACCATGAATCCCGGCGTATAAACCACTTGGCCTCAGAGGTCGTCAAATGCTTTCTTATGTTTTTTTAGGACTATAGAATTTCTTCTACTTTACCCCCCGTCATCACCCCTTTAGTATGTTTGATGAACATTTAAATATACACCGAAAAACGGAAAATGGATGACTGCCATAGATTTTTTTGTACATCCTGAGCATCATGTCATCAAGGACTCCTTACTTTCGTTATTGTCAGTCTTAGGAGCTCCTCCATGCTTCGACTATATTGAAATTTAGTTGTCACTTCAAATGGCTATTAACGATTTTGAGAGCACTCTCACTTATTTATTTCCTATTCCCGTGGTCTGTGTAGCCCTCTATTCTGTTTTTCACGGCAAGAAAAGTTTTTTATTTTTCCTTGCGTCCCTTTCTCCTGTTATTCGAGTTGTACTGAACATTCAGGCTTCGTTTATATCCAGTATAAAATCAATCCTGAATAGTTTCTCTTCAAACTTATCTATTTATTAGATGTGTAAATTAAAAACCATTACTAAATATGATAAAACGCAAAACATGAAAATAATTTTCTCAACTCATAGCAGAAACCTGCCACTTACACAGACCAGGGGGCCAATCGCCTAACGGGAAATGCTTTGGAAAACGATAACGCTTACGATTTTATTTTGTTATTTCTAGCCGCCTGAGGTATTCAAATGCCTCGCGCTCTTTCTTTTTCTTTTGCATTGGTAATAACAATATTAAAAAAAATGAGCGTGAGGTATTCGAAAACCTTAGGCGGCTAGAAATAATAATATAAAATCGTAAGCGTTAGCGTTTCCCATAGCATTTCCGTTAGGCGATTGGCCCCCAGGGCAGGGGCTATAGTGCATTATAAAGACATATTGCCGTAAAGTTTACAAATAGCCAATACATTACTTTTATGGAAGATGACTTCATGAATCATCTTATATTGAAGCCATTTTTCAATTTAACCACTCTGTATATAATAATAATATGAGGGAGAAAAAAAACAGCCCTTGCTGAGTTTCTTGCCGGTTCTTCTCTGTACAAGGACTTCCACCATAAATTTACTTTATTAATAATAACATAAATTATTTTATGTAGCTTTTAGACATTTATAAGTGCTTGTAACAGACTAAATTAAAACAATTTTCGTTTTGGCAAGCTGTTTAATTGTTGTCTTGTTTCAGACGTTCCGGTTAGACATGATGTCCCCATCCGGCACGGTGCTGTCGCCGAACAGTGAAATCACCCAAGTCCTCAAGATCACTAACCCCACGAAAGTAAGTAGATTGATGATTCTTTATATATGATGATTTGTTCAACATTATAATAGTACATTGATGACCTACGTGACCGAAAGTCCCAGGCTCGACTGTCGGATTGTTTAATGTAAGATTTCTTGAGACTTGGTGTGGTACTTGTGAACTTTATCTTTTTAATGTGAAGTAACAATAGGGAATATGCGTGGTTATTTTCTTTCATAGTTTACATTCTCATAATATAGGTAGTATAAAAATTTTCGATGTGGAAATAAATATATAAATATTTCCAACACTCACACCAATTAGCCTAGCCCCAAAGTAAGCACTATAAGGCTTGGGTTATGGGATACTAGGGTAACGGATAGAATACACATACTTTACATATATGTATATTTATATAGAAATACATATTTAAACATCCATGACTGGAGTACAAATGTTCGTGTTCATCACACAAATATCTGCCCCCACCGGGATTCGAACCCGGGACCTCTCGAGTCGGCGACGCCATGAAACCCGGCGTACAAACCACTCGGCCACGGAGGTCGTCAAATGGAAAAAATGTGAAATATGTAAAAGAAATACCCACTTTGAACAGGCATTTTCATCGCTCTCTAATTTGGAACTCTTGTTGTGACGTCGCAATCTATAGTAACCTAGAAACAAAATAAGGCGACTCACTAGCACTGTGTCTCTTTGACTTTGATATATCCTGTGAACGTTATATTGTTTTAAACTTTCATGGTAACTGACTCTATAGTAATTTATATTATTTACGGGATTGTTACCATGTACCTTGATAGTTATTCCGTGATCATGGCGCTTGCAACAGTGCCGAAATATCGGAAACTCGCAAAAAACAAGGTACTTGTAACTACGTCACGCCCGCTCTGTCGCGTTTCAGTTAACGAATTTCCAAGAAGTTTATCGCAAAATTTAATTTATTGCACAAAAATAAATTTTATAAAAACACATGATGAAGGGACAATTCGAAAGTATAGAGTTTTTATACAAAAAGTTAGAGCCTTATTTGAATTACATGCATATTCCCTATTCAATGTGTGTTACCTCAAATTTCATAGAACGCACGCAATAAGTACTGTAGTGCGTATCATCATTATCATCATCAGCCTATTAATGTCCCCACTGCTGGTGCACAGGCCATCCCTATGGATGGAATGGGGAGATTGGGCCATGACCCACCACGCGGGCCCAGTGCAGATTGGTGGGTGCTAACGACTGCAGATGCAACCGGGACCAACGGCTTAGATAATAATCTTTTTGGTCACCCATCCAATAACTGACCATTGCGAAAGTTGCTTAACTTTCTTGACCGCAAATCAGCGCCGTCTCTTCGCATTGTAGGTAACCCACAAAAGTTTTCTTTAGAATTAAACCTCAATATACTTTTCATACAGACGCCGCTGCGTCTCAGGATACGCGTTTCCTACTCATCCGAAGGCAACCCCGTCTTAGAGCAGGCGGAGGTGAACAACTTCCCGCCCGACCTTTTCAACTGACGAGCGGCCCATTACCCCGGCTACTGTCTATAGCCACACCAACACCTATATTATAAGGCCAGTTTTAATAGCGGCCCATTACCCCGGCTACTGTCTATAGCCACACCAACACCTATGTCTACTGCACATTAAAAGGCCAGTTTTAATAGCGGCCTATTACCCCGACTATTGTCTACAGCCACACCAACACCTATATCTACAACACATTAAAAGGCCAGTTTTAAGAGTGGCCCATTACCCCGGCTACTGTCTATAGCCACACCAATACCTGTACTACACATTATAGACCAGTTTTAATAGCGGCCTATTACCCCGACTACTGTCTACAGCCACACCAACACCTATATCTACAACACATTAAAAGGCCAGTTTTAACAGCGGCTCATTCCCCGACTACTGTCTATAGCCACACCAACACCTGTATCTACTACACATTAAATAGCCAGTTTAATAGCGGCCTATTACCCCGACTACTGTCTACAGCCACACCAACACCTGTATCTACTACACATTAAAAGGCCAGTTTTAATAAGCAATCTCCAGTTAAGGGCAATAAAAAGCTGTTAACGGAACCATATCTTAAAACCGGACGGCAGGCTGCGAAGGTCGGCAGAAGCCATAAAAAGGCATTAATTACTGACCTATAGATTGATTTACAAATTCAAGGGCAGGGGAGAGGGGGTTGCAAACCTTGAAAGGAGGTGCGCCAGATTTTTTAATATACACCCTCTGCTTATGATCTACCTGCAATTACCGCTGCCCTATCTTAAATACAATTCTGGCTACTGCTCAGAGTAAAAGGCGAAAGGCGATAAACAACTGTTGTTGAAATAAAACAAGTTTCAGCTTATTTATTGTCGTTTTGCATCATTTTCGGGATGCGTCGTCTGATTATGCAAAACGTAAATAAATCAGTGCATCTATACCGTTGAAACTTGTTTTGTGTGCGTAAAAACCAATGAAACAAACTTTTGTTTAAAAAATGAACCATACTCTAGTACCGTTTCTTAACAACCATTTGTTATTTATACTCTAAATAATGAAAATACAGGCAACAAACGTCTTATATAATCTAGACATATATTAACTGGAGTTTGACTATCGAGACAGGCCGATACACACCAGGCTAGAGTCCAGGATTGGCTTCATGTAAATCTCACGACTCTTGATAGCCGAAATCGTACACATGTATGTAACCAGAAAATGTATAAGCACCCCATTCATTTGGGGTGAAAATATACAAACATTTCGATTTACGAAAATCTACAGACATAGACGAACAGTGCAACAAAAAACCCCTTACTTTACTCCCAAAGTCTTTAAAGATCCACTTTTATCCAATTGTTGATAAAACTATTCTAACTACCAGTCTTATTTAAATTATTATCCCTCACCCAAGTGTTAATTATACTTACTTATCAGCTCAAAGAAGTCTTGAATGTGTGGTAGGAAAAATTTTGAACAATTCAAAAGAGCTTTCAGTAATTAAATTTAAAAAAAGTATAATTTCATTTCATTATTTTTATAAAAATCCAGTACAGCTGTTTCACATTCGTTCTATCGGTCGACCGATCCCCCAGTGAGGTCACAAGACTGTACATACTGAAAAGTGGAAACTTCCGTATTACGAGATTTATAAGACCGATTAAACATCGACTCATCCGGCGATTGAAAAACACCCATAAATTTTACACTAAGAAGACTCGTGTAGATCTTGATTTACAAATACGGCTCTTATCAGAACGTGTTAGGGGTGATGACCGGGTAAATTAAACGAAATTCTATTTAATCCGTCAGTTAAATTATCAAAAAATAATTTCTTTTGTCAATCAAAAAAAATTACAAAGTCAAAGCGTGTTAAAGTTTGGGTGTGGGGGCTCGTTCTAAGTAAAAAATTGTACCAAGGCGTGACATCATGCGACATTTCAAATCCGTATCACAAACAATAATAACAACAAAACAATATCTCTGAAATGTTTTGATTATGTGAATAAAGAAAAAATATGTGTCCAATACTTTTTGATAATCTACCTGATAGGCGTAGAAAAAAAAGTTAGTCATTATCCCTATTGCATTTACCGACAAGCATTGTGATAATACCGACATCTATCAAGTTTAATTTTTCTAACCAACGACCTATACCTGTCTTGACTTACTTTAAATGTTATGTTCAAATGAAAATACAATTATCTTTAAACACTGCTGAGATAAATATAAGCTTTAGGTGAAGTATTCATTTGCAGACAAAACGTTGTTTCCAAATGTAATAAAAAGCATACAGTTTAATGCATCGGAATTTGAAAATGTATTATATTAATTTATTTTCGACCGTATAAATAAACCATATTATATTGATGATTGTTAATAAAGTACTATGTCGGCCACATTAGTAACGAAAATAACCACGCAACTCATAGTATTGCAGAAAACAGAGATCTAATACCAAATTGTATGTTGTGAAAAATCTAAGCGAAGACATTTACGCAAAATTTTACATTTGCTGAGATCTCGGATGATTCTCTCAGTGGACTGTGCTTAAAAAATGCCTGATTAAGATATATAACATTATAATGTATGTATAGATAATAGTTTTACGAACAGATTTTGTCTGTACGCCACTTTGGTAGCATGACAATTGTAGTTGTGCACTACGATTTTATTTTGGCAATATGTACTGCTTATAATTCTATGAAAATCTAGAAAGCTAATGTTTTCCTTTATTTCCGCAAACAATGTCAATAATAAGAAATAATCACATATTCCACACTCAATTTAAGAAGATTCGAAAATTAAATATTTGTGATATTTTGGTTTATATTCTCAAAGTGCAGTATAACTTCAAGTGTTTTAAAAAGGGCAGAGTTTTATTGAAATCTGTTACATGTTCAGTGTGTCTGTGATCTAAATTGTACCAATAGATACATTAATGAAATTATAACTATATGATAGTTTAGCCGCTTCGTTTGCACTGCAGAATCATTTTGGATTGCTTTCTACTTAAGACTGACAGTGTGTGTGCTCCAAGACAAAATTGCTGTGTATCTTTTATTATTTACTCAATATTATGTAAACATTCCACTAATTTAATGAAATCTTTTTAAAGAAGTGTTTTAATAAAATTGAACCACATTCTTAATAAGCTTAAAAGAATTCTATGTCTTTTCTACTAATTTTTAACTGTGTTTAAATCCTTCTAATTAAAATGTGTTATTCGTTTGTTAGACGTAAGATTTCCGCGGCGGTTTTGCATGCCCACCTCTTTCTGCGTATTCTTTTACTTGATATGAAAGTTACTCATGCCAATTATTGTCGTCGTAAGTTGAATTAAGACCTCATTGCGTTGATAAAGGTTTATGTTGTTGAAAGCGGGACGTAATTGTCTAAACTATTGCAGTCTTTAAGCCTTACCCCTCTAGAGCAGACGTATATCGTCACGCGTCATGTACATAAATTGAGATTGCGAATTGTACTATATCGTGTATAGGAAGATGTGAAGGATACGGAATGTACTTAATATGATCACTATTATGATTATTTACGTGTGATAAAGCACTTAGATATAACTTCGATGGATGGATGTATAAAAAAATATAGTCACTTATTCGAAAATCATTTTTGGTACCTGCCACTTGCATGTTAGGTTTTTGGCACTACCATCTCCCATCAGAGTCGGGAACTCGACTGTGGCAGGTCTATTATTTTATTTATTGGATTGTTTATTATATATCATAATTAGTTTCATAGAATATCGTTATCCCCTATGCATTTGGTTAAGCGTAGTTATTTGTGTATGAGATTCGTTATTTGCTTCAAATGCTAGTATATCTCGTAGTTCATTAAATTTCTTTATAAGACGTTAAGAATTTTACATTCTGGAGAAATGTAAATAGATTATGTTACATCTCAATATATCAGATCATACAATGTGGTTATTCCTAACATTTTTATCCCACTTTTACGATGATTTGGGACATTTTTAACACCTAGTTGTTAGTTTTTTTTTAATTAGTGCTATTTATGATTTTAGAGTAATATTCACTAACCAGCACACGTTTTAATGAAATATTTGACATTATTTTTAAATTTATGAAATGTATTGATTGAAATCTTCCCATGTCCCGAATAGAAAAGCGCACGCTCTAGTTTTTTACTACTTTGAAATACCACATTTGTGTTACACGGGATATACACACATACTAACATTTTATTTTTCAGTATGTAAAGAGAGCTTGGCAAGATATATCGTAATTTGGTGCTTGTTTTTATTATAAAAAATATCTGATTGAATAGAAGGCCCTCCACAAGTTATGCGAGATGTTAGGATTTTTGTGTAACTAAAGCTATGTGAAAGATGTACATAATGATTATGATTTTATGTAAATTGGTTAATAAATATTTGAGAATGTTTATATAATCAAAAACATTGGTTTTATTTATTGAAATTTAAGTCCTGGATATTCAAAAAGATTTGAGTAGGTAAGTTCCAACAATTAGGCCACTTGCATAAAAAATCTTCTTTAACATATCATTCCATCTTTGCCAATTGTTTAAAGCTGTAAAGAGATAGAATTAGCCATCAACATAATTGGCTTTTATATAAGGACTTTGATGAAAGTAATATTTTAAACCTCAGTGTACAGAGATAGTGTATATATCTCGGTTTGACTTAAAGATGGAATGATGTTATGTTAAACAGGAGGCTTAATTTTAACTAAGAATTTTGCTGCAAGTAGCTTTTACTATTTTATGGATAACTAGGGGATCCCACTTCGTCTGCGTGGTTTAGATGGGTCCCATACAAACTTCTACTCTCCTTTTCAGTGCCTGAAAAGACGATTACTGGCAAAAAATTATCCTATGGCCGTTTCTGGGATTCAACCTATCTCAATACCAAATTTCATCTCAATCAATTCAGCAATTTAAGCGTGATGCAGACAGACAAACACTTTCGCATTGATAACATTACGTATGGTTGAATGGGTTATGGTATTCAATACCACGACTTATGGTTATTGTACATTGTCAGTACTTTTTAGTAAATCACAACATAAAAACAGGTGCCTTTTCAAACATTTGCCTCAACTTTTTATTTATTAATACATACAAATCTTACATTATGATATTATTATAATGAGTTCCTAAATTTAAGCATTCACCCATAATTCACTCTATCATTGGAGTAGCTGGGGCAGGGCGGCCGCTGACACTGTTGAACAGGCGATCTTTGATCATCTGTGCCATTAGACCGTGTATAACTTCAATTGTAGTCTTGCACGCATCCTTGGTGGCTTTGCCAAGCTTGTCTTCCGTACGCTTCTCATGTGGATCCGAGCCAGCCATTATGAAACCACCACGGCCTATAAAACAAGAACAACAATTTATGTCAGTAAAAGACTCCAATTATAAATGCTTAAACAAGAATGTATATATCATCTCATAATTTCACATCCATTAAGTTAACAATAAAGTGTTAATTATAAAATCTCCAGTTCTCATTTTATTATCACTAGATTCCACCCGCAACGAGAAATACACAAACATTCAAATCTATAACATTAGTAGGATTTGACTTAGGAAAAGATTAATATTGCACTTAACAAAAGAATAAGTCATTACTTGGGCTGCAGCCACACCACTAAAGTGATTGCAACGCAATGGCGATTTCATGGAACGCAAACTCGTATAAACACATGTTAGTGGCTACACATATGTTACTGCCTCTGCTGCGCTGTCGCGTCGCATTCGCCTTAGGAGTGCGGCCGCTACTTTACTCACAAATTAATTAGTAAACAATCTTTGGAAGATTTTACATCACCTAAAGAAACTTCACTCTGTTCTAACTTATCAGACAAGTCGAAAATCTGTCCAGTTGTGTAATCAGCATTTGTGATAAGACTGGAGCTACTGAGTGTGTTCACCCAGTATTTGTTCCAAAGGGAGTCCAGAAGTCTCCTGTCCAGAGAAGACTTGAAATAAGACACTTCTAAGGAATAGTATTGCTTGCAATGAACACCAAAATCTTCAATTTTGTTCAAGGGAATTGTTTGGTATTCCGATGGTTCTTCGTTGGCAGGCTTGTAACCCTAGAAGAACAAAAACTTGTAATTAGCAGATGCTATATAATAATGAAGTAGTAGTAAGCAAGCTCTGACCATTTTTGAAGCCAGAGAATATTGAGAAGGTAGGAAGTGACCAGTGACCAAACAGAATGAGACTAATTTTATTTGACAGAACTCATTTTTGAAAATACCTGTCACCTTCCTACCCTCTTAACACTGCTAAGCTCTGAATATGAAAATGCCGCTCATCACTTCCAAATACCTTTAGATTAAGTTAGCTATATTTTCATTTACCTTTGGATAAGTTCTAAAAGCACCTAGACAGACTTTTCCAGCAGATATTGTTCTGACTGGGTCAATAACAATGGCTACAAATGGTTCCTGGAAGTTTTGGTTCAGCATTTGGGTGGACACATCAATGCCTGACAGCCAGCATCCATATCCAGGGTGACTGTGGTACCAACCAATTGCATTTTCATGTCTGCCAACCTAAAACAATAATATAGTTATTTTGTTAAGACATTTATCATGACATGAACATCAATTTATACAAACACAACATTTTACAACCTGCTTAGCTGCTTCAATATATGCAGTCATGTATTCATATGCTTGAGCCTGTGCATTTACTCGTGTTTCAGTCCCCTCTACAGGCAGTGCGAAAGAATCCATCACTAGCATAGTATTTGCATCTACTTTACCTGAATTATAAAGAGTTTTAATAAATAAAGTAATTTGATTTAACAATTAAAAAAGTCCTTTAGGTAATTAAACATCTAAAATATACCTAGCAGAAGACCCATAACTTCTAGAGTGCCGCCAGATCGAGCATGCATCACCATCTTCAATAATGCTAGTGCTGATATCTTGATATCTTTGAAGAAATGGGGACTGAAAGTATTAAATTTATATAGTATTGGTTTAATTGAAAACAATATGAAAATGATAGGAAATAAATAAATTCGTACTCTTTTTCCCATGGTTTTGCAGCAAGAATATCTTGTTGTTGCCTTTTGTCGTAACGATAAATTTCATCAACACTAGATACGTTTTCTATGTTGTTTGCCATTACCCATGTCTTTTGAGCGATGGTTGCTTGAGTATCAGCGCTTGTTGATGCCATACTGTTTTATAATAGTTTATAAAATGTATTTGTACGTTAGGAAGAACTGTAACACAAGTAATCCGATAAACCCTAATAAGACCAACAAACAAAATTAATTAATGGTAGACAGTCATCTAGAAACGTCAAATTTAAACTTTAGTTTTTTTTTAATTCTCCGGTTTTACGGAAGGCAAAGGGAGCAAAGTCCACATAGCCTGGTCTTCAGTTATATTAATCTTCTTTTTCTTTTTATCAAAATAATATGATTTTCGATAAGCTTCTGTGAGGTAGTCAACACTACAATAAAGTTATCATGTCCACTTGACCGGAATATACGCTAATATTTTGAAGGATGTAACACAAAATCACACCAATTTTATTGCACTATATCCACTATGAACGAATTTAAGAATAATTATAATAAGGGCGTTTTCAATTGTGCGGCGCCGATACCGCGAACGCTCGACAACAGGACTGTTGCCGTACCGCGCGTTTTGTATAAAAAAAAAAGGATCGTCCATACGCTGTACGACAAACGCACCGCTTCGGCACCGCAGCAGGCCGTCAAGAAACGCATAATTTGAAAGCGCCCTAAGACGCCAACGACACTCGAAGAATTTAGGCGCTGACATGTTACGGACTTAGAAAGTGTTGTGGCGGAGTTACGGCCGTCGTGTCCACACGTTGGGTGCGCGTTTTGTTTGTTCTAAGCTCCCAGAGTGATCGCATGCACACACCAGATTCAAATTGTATATTCACGCGTTGTAACTATAGTGGCTTCTTCTTCTTTATCATTACACTCTTGGCAGAGTGGTCGTGGCCGTTACTTCAGCGTCATCGGCAGATTCAGTGGCAGCAACCCACGACGACTACCCTGAACGACGAGACGCTCGATGGAAGCTTCAGTACGGCGAGACACGTGCCCAAAGAAAGCAAGCTTGGACAACGAAGTTGCTTCGAAATTCAGGCCATGATATTTCAAGCATTCTTCTGCAGCACCACATTTAGAGAACATCTACCCTCTGCTTGTTCAGGAACAACCTTTTTGGATAGGAATGCTTTGAGACGCTCGTTCAACACATGTAAAAGTATTGTACTAGCATGGGATATTAAAGCAATGATTCGATAATTGCTGCAAGTTTTCGTAGAGCCTTTTTTGTGTAATGGGATGAAAACTGTATGAGCCCACACTTTTGGCCATGTCCCTGTCCGCTAGATCAAATTGCATATTGTTTGGAATATCTGGATGCCATATTCTCCTGAAGCTTTAATCGTGTCTAGGGGGATACCATCTCTGCCAGTAGCTTTCCCATTCTTCAGGTGTTTGATTGCGGCTCTTATCTCATATTTGAGAATGTCTGGTTCTAGCTCTTCATCCACAGACTCTGTAGCATCAAAAAATGTGATTGTGGATCTTCAACTATTTGAAGACAGTCCCTACGGATTGACAGTATTCCTTTCAAGTCTCAGATATTGCATTTATTTCTGTAACCGTTTCACCGAGCGAATTTTCGATAGCCCATGTCAATTTTACGATGGAGATCTCCTGTTTCACACTTGTTTGCATGAGCTTCAACTTCTGCACAGATGTTCTGAAGTTGGATGTTACGGTCTCGATGGCAAGCTGCTTGGATCCGACTAGACAGCTCATTAAAAATTTTCACATCTGCTCATGTTGCCTTCAAGCTTCGCCTATTTTCAACGAGCGCAAAAGTCGCTTCACTCATCCAGTGTTGCCGTTTGGGGGTTTTTGTAGTCGCTTCAGACTTTTTCAACTGCAGGTCTTTTGCTCTATTCCACAAGTGATCTAAAGTTCTGAACTGATCTGTATTTAGGTCCACATCTGTCCATTGCGTAAAATTTTCATCCAGCACAGTAATAAATTTTAAGCTATTCCTGCTTTGAGTATCTATTAAACTATTCCTGGCCTCGGTTCTCTTCTGTTTTTGAAGTTTCCTTGCCTTTTCAGTTTAACCGTGGTGTAACCTCACTTTGGAGACTAGAAGTTGATGGTCACACCTACGGTCAGATCCCGGTAGAGTGTGAGTATTTCTGATTGAAGTTTTCCACCGCGAACCAATTAAAATGTTGTCAATTTAGTTACGATATTTGCCGTCCGGAGATATCCAAGTGTAAAGATCCTGTTTGATATCATCAAGTTGTTTTCAATGGCAAATTGTATAAGGCGTTCGCCTCTTTCGTTTCGCTGACCTAGCTCAAACTTTCCTACGTCGCTTAGATATTGTGAGTCGGCTCGGATCTTTGCATTCAAGCTACCTAAGATCATTAGGACTTCTCTGATAGAGACTTTTGACATGGTATATTCCACCTCGGTGTAAAAGTTTTCCACATCGTCTTCATTGGCAGTACTTGTTGAGGCATAAACTTGTAAGAAGTTTAGGTTCTCTGGAGTTGTCTTGAGTTTAGTACTCAGTACTTGATCGCTAACTGGTTCGTACCCCATTACGCAGTTCCTCATGTGCTTCGGAAGAAGAAAAGCAACTCCATATCTGTTACAAGTATCATTTCCAAAAAAGTAAATGGCCTGTGTCTCGGTAAGGAAATGACCATTGCCCTTTCAGTGAGTTTCACTAAGGCCACAGATACTCAGCTCGCGTCTGGTTATTTTTCGCTCTACGATCTTAAGCTTACCCGGTTGTAACAGACCGCTCACATTCGAGGTGCTCATCTTCTGGGTGTGTCGCATCTTGGCGGGTATTCCAGTAGTTTCGTTTACACGCGTAGTCTGGTTTCCCATATCCGCATGGCCGGTAGTCTATTTCCCACCGTTTGCCCCAGACGCAGTACGGCGCGCGCCGGTTGCTAAGCGGATTGCATGACCATCTCGATATCTTTGATTGTACTTTCATAACGAATTGCTTGGGATAAGTAGTAGCAGTAGTTTCGCCTTGGTTTCTGCACCAGAAATTTGAGAGATTATTTGAACCTCAAGGCCGCTGCAGCCTTTTCCAACCGTGGACCGTGTGGTTTTATCACCATTGCTCGGTCATCATTGCCTATAAAGTGGCGATTTTATTTTTTCACCCTCTACCCCATTGGGTGTGGTATCGTTAAAAAGGTCTTTTAAAATGAATAAGGAACTTGAAATATTCGCAATAAAACACCGAGTTGTGAATATCAGTAATCACTCATCATCATCATCACCTCGAAGAATACCTGTTATTAAAATATTAAATCTATGTTGCATCATACTGTGGGACTTGATACCATTTGAATGTAATCCACCCATAAATATGTATCTATTAAGAGTCCACCCTATCAAATAAAACATTGCCACCCTACGATAATAGGTTTCTATTTAATATTCTAATAGCTACATTTTATCGATTTGTTATGGAAACAAATAACATTTACATTATTTATCTGTGTCTGATGATCTGAGATATAATAGATAGAAGTATGTTTCACCATAATTTAAAATATGTCCTCGTTGTGATTACACCATATAATGTTTCTAGTAAATGCTTGCTAAAATTACGTCATACATTTTTATTTTTCATACGACCTTTTAGTATGCTATGCTAAAGATCGTTTACATTAAGTTTACATTAATGTTTTATATCTAGTACCATACAATGAAAAAATTTCATTCTAACTTATTACACAAATGAAGTTGATAAATTAAATAGCGTACTTTACAGGCAATAAAATAATCAATGAAAGCAGCAGGAGCAGCTCTCGCGTTGTAATTTATAATTCCCGCCTAAAATTGAAATTTCCAATCATAGTCTTTTTGGTGACGTCAAGGTTTCTGTTTCTTTTCAACTTGCAATCAAACTCATGTCGGCTTTGTCTACTCCACTGTGCAGTATATCCGCCCACTTTATATTTTGACCAATAGCAAAGCACCACATAAACGTCTAGAAACACCGCACTCACCACAAAAATCTTTTATTTATTGACGTGAGTTTGATAATGTACTACGCAATCGCTTGTTACTCGCTAGCGGAAATATATCGTAGGAAAGTGCTTTAGCAAATGGTGAATAAAGTCATAATTTAGCATGCCATCGTTAAGACAGTAATACAAGAGAAGTGTGTGGTGAATGTTTGTGTGTTTTGACAAAATACGGAAAAGTTAGGCAATATGAGCGCACCGATAATCATCACGGTACCAAACAATTACTTGACGGTGGATGAGGTGGACTCGAAGGTCGTCATGGATGTGCCGCCTCCGCCACCGTCAAGGAAGAGGCGGCTGGATCATTTATCATGGGAGGAAAAAATGCAAAGGAAGTGAGTGATTCATAATTTTTTCACTCTTTTCATTACATTTGCTTGCGTGTCGATCTCGTTATCACAATAACGGAACTGATAGTTCAACTTATAGTAGTCGTTCTAGCAATTTCATTGCACACTATCAGAGTCCAATTTATAATGGATATTAGTTTTTGTTGTCGAAATACCAGATAATCAAGAGCTCTGTTGTTTTCATACGCTATAGCTTAATTTGTATTTCATCGAGAATAATTATGTTTACACAGGAAGCTGAAGAATCGCGTAGCGGCGCAGACGTCGCGCGACAGGAAGAAAGCCAAAATGGACGAGATGGAGTTTCAGATAAAGAAGTTGGTGGAGGCGAACGAGCGGCTAACGAGCGAGGTGTCGAGCTTGAAAGCTTTGAACGAGCGTCTGTTGAGTGAGAACAGTTCGCTGCGCAGCGAGGCGGCGGCGCGGAACGTCGCGGGGGCCCGGGGACCGGCAGAGTCTACTCCTCGGCAGCAGGAGGGGCCCCCGACGGCGATCCGCGCGGCACGCCTGCTGCTGGCGATGTGCCTGCTCTCGCAGACCTCTTGCAACACCTCGACTCAGAAGAGTACCTCGATACCCTCCATCAACTTGCAGACTCCCTCCTCAAAGAAATTGATGCAGGTGCTGCAGGAGCGCCTGAAGATGTAAGTCTCTCTCTATTATGTATTAAGCTAACCCTAATCTAAGAAGTAGATCTTCCAACAGAGGTAAACTAAATCTATAGGAAATTTTTTAATTTAAATCACCAACACACAAACACAAATCACATTATTTGTTGTTATGCTAAATCACAGCTATCAAATTTATTTCATGCGAATAGATAAATTTGAATATTTATAAGGATATAAATATTATCTCTAAAAATGATGCAATATTTTCATAATGTTGCAATTCAAATGATTCAGAGTGAAACTACCCATTTTTTGCTATGACTCAATTGGGTTTTTTCTTTTATGAAGGTCACAGTCCGGGTCCCTGGAGAGTGCCATCAAGCAGTTGAAATGGTGGGGTCCTCAGCAGAGCACCTGGAATCCAGTGAAGTTGCAGTCATAGACCTCAAGCATGATGTCAACAGGATACTGTCGCAACACTCATATGCACATCCCTACATACCAGACGTTACAGCCACCCAGCCAGAAGAAACAGTACAAATTAAAGAAGATATAGGAAATGACAAAGGTGACATCTTCTATGCCAGTTTTGATGAAGCCAACGATTGTATCACTGTTGAAGTGCCGTGTGATGAACAAGTTGTGGAAGAGTTATCCCCAATTAAAGTTGAGACAGAGTTGAATTCTGTGATAGATGTTTCTGGAGTATCTCTGGAGTGTAATCTAAAAATGTTATCACCAATGAGCTTATCGCCCAATTCAGCTGATGAGAATTTACTTCTGTCACCCTCACACACCAGCATATCAGATCTCGGATATGAGTCGTTGGCCTCACCACTCAGTGAGCCTGATTCGATGGACCTATCAGATTTTTGGTGTGAATCATTTTCAGAATTATTCCCTGGTTTGGCATAGAGGAAAATATTCTGCATTTATCTCACCAAAGACTGATAAATTAGTTGTTAAGTTTAGATATTGTTTATTTAAGACTTTAACTTGAACTGTTTTTAAATCTAAATTGAATTAATATATATATGTTTATTAATTTAAGTAAGTAGGGATATGTAAATAGTGTTGTAAATAAATATGTATTCTGTGAATCAAAATGATGTTGTGTTTTTCTTTATAGAAAACCCCAAAGTAGTCGGAAATACCTAGAAGTTTGTCAATAAGTTCCAAGGCCAGCAAACATATCCAATTCAATTACAAATGTAAATCTGTATTTTCGTTCATCTGTTAAAGTACCTACGTCCAATACGTGAATTGAAAATCCATAAATACTGTTACTCTCTTAGACATGTAGTGGTTTATGTAAGAGAGACGGAACTTCTTAGCAAACTATGGATTCACTGTGCGGGTGTAAACTCCGAGCAGTTCCCGGGGCTTCAAGTTCACCTTCACTGCGCGATTTCCTTTCTACCTAAATTTGATAGAGCCTGTTAGTGCAGCCTTAGTTAGTTCCAAAATTGAACTTACTGCCGTCCTCGACAGGCCAAGGTTTTTTTTTAGAACATACCAATTAGCCTATCCCCAAAGTAAGCACTGGTAAGGCCTGTGTTATGGGATGCTAGTGTAACGGGTAGAATACATATACTGTACATATATAAGTATATTCATATAGAAATATATATTAAACATCCATGACTGGAATACAAATGCAAAAAAATCATACAAACATCTGCCCCCACCGGGATTCGAACCGATTTTTGATTCGTCATGGTCGTCGGTTTGGATGATAATAGAGAGATTTTGCTGTTATACCTGTAGTTCCTACTTCTTGATTTATTTGTACGCGGTATAAATTAACAAATTATCCGCTTTATATTACATAGATATTATTGTGTGGTCTATTGGAATGTTAGTTTCCCTCGGTAAAGTAAGATCTATTAGCATTATGTTCGATATGCCTATTAAAGAGGAATATGGAGGGCCTGGATGACGAAACACCAACATCCTCTGGTACTTCATAGTGCATACATATCCGTTAAAATAGTCCAATTAGGTGCTGTATAATAATACCTAGGCTTGAGAAAAGCTTGCTTTTCCAGTTAACTGTTGTCTTCATTTATAGTTTATTTTTTATTTGTGGTTAATCCTCATACTGAAATTAAAAAAGAGAAAATCTCACCTCTTCACACTTAAACCGCTAAACCAATTTTGATGAAATTAGTTACAGTGATAGTTCGAGTCCCGGGATAGGACAAAATAGTTTTTATCCCCGAAATCATACTTAGGGGGGGTAGAAGTTTGTATGAGAAATATTTTCTTCTCCACGCAGACTAAGTCGCGGGCACAAAATATATGGATATAAGTATGTACACTTTTCATATATGGATGTTACTAAACCTCAATCAAGTTCATATCGATTAAGTTCGTTCTTGTGTGGTTGATAGGATCTTGCAATAGGTTAATTACTCAACTGGCGAGCGAAGTACCTATTTCTTTGCATTTGAGGTATAAGCGGTTAATATTTATGCAGACTAGGGTTGTTGTACATATAAACTGTGGACAGAATGTCATTTATGCAGAATGTCACGGGGTAGGAAACGATCATAATCAAAGTGCTAGGACATAACTTACTGTCGAAAGCTGACTAAGTAGGTCCAACATAAGGAAGAATGATTTTCGTAACAACGAAAACATTAGTCAGAATAAAACTCAATCCAATTATAAAACATTAAATATATTTGTTAAAATATTACAGATTCAATAAAATCTCGTATCAGATTATTATAGATAATAATAATAATTAATGACGGCTAACTAACATTTCACTCGCGGTTAATGTAACCCACGTGGTCGCCGCTATATCAAGCACATGAAGCGTTAACTATACCGGCCGCTCTCGACTGTGCAACGTACTGATAACTTAAAATTATTGCATGCCTAAATTAGGCACTCGTTAAATAATCATTATGCCGACCCTTTAGCATAGAGGTATAAGAATAGAGTGGGGAAGGTGGCTCTAAAAGTGTCCGTCTAGTAGAAAGAGAAAGAAGATGAGAGAACTAACGGTTTTCTCATCTCATCTCTCTCTCTTGTGACGCATGGCATCCAATAGCATCACATCGAAATAGTAAGATGCTTACAATCTATCTCTATGCGCTTCAGTTGGCTATTAGTAAACTTGAAAACAGCCTGTATAAGATGCTTTATAAGCATAGAGCAACACGACCGATGCGACGTGTCAAGGAGGGGAGTAGCCATAGTGACACAAAACTACAAAAATCATTTTGCTACTTTTTGCGGGGGTAGGAATATGCACACAAATGCAGTCCAACATACTTTCGCAAAAATTGTAATTGTTTTCTTTTGCATTGGTAATAACAAAATTAAAGAAAATGAGCGTTAGATATTTGGAAACCTTCGGCGGTCAGAAATTACAAAATGAATACGTAAGCGATAGCGACAGCCATAGCAATTCAATTATACGGTTGGCCCCCTGGCCGCGTTCGTCTATGTTTATAAAGGATGTAAAGGACAGACCGATGTGAAGCGGCATTAAATATGGCATCGTTATGGTGTGTGTATATTGAAGTGATGCTTATAATTTCTTTAACTCTAAATCTCTTGCACTTTTTTTGCTCTGCCACCTGGCAAGGCAATAATTCTGAATTGAACTCGATAGGTATTATATAAACCATTGATTTATAGTAGTTATGTTATATAGTACTAGAGTTACATCAGACAGATATTTGTTTAAACAGCTGAAATTTCTTTAAGTGATAAAAATGCTTTCGTAACGTGTTGTTCTAGATTGTTCTACCGCTGTTAGCACACATTTATGTATTAATATATAATTTAGACGACGCATCCTGAAAAGGATGCGAAACGTCAATAAGTAAATAAACCAGTGCATCTATACCGGTGAAACTTGTTTTATTGAATGAGCGGTGTGCGTGAAAACCTAAGAAACAAATATACATTTATGTGTACACATTTTTGTCGCAAAAAACGTCGAGAGACGGTCGTAACTTAAGCTCGATAAATCGTTTGGCACTTGCACCTAACTAATTACAAGCGATAACATATTTCAGCGCGATAAATTACAACTGTGTAAAATAACAACGTGGAAAAAACTGTACACCTGTTACCCTAATGGAAGATACAGAACTTATACTGAATCGAGAGTAGGCGAAGCACAAAAACATAAACAAAATGCTTAAAACTAATTTATAATAACTGCGTAGTGTTGTGTTATAATTATATATATATTATATATCACCTCATCACAACTCTACATTAACAAGTTTTAACTGTGACAACAAATCACCCAAGTCATTAATCACACATCACGAAGTTCATGACAAAATATCTCCCAACTTATTGTTGGATTTATTAGACCGTCAAATTGAAAAAAAAAACGATGAACATTTATCATTATTAAATCTATTATGTCCTAGTTTTAATGTACACTGTATTCAGCTATGCTTTTTAATAGTATAACAGCAGTACTATTTGAGGAGCTGGCGAACAAAACGGTATAATTACGCATCTGGTCAAACTACTTTTTTTTTACAGCCCGGGGGTTTATGGCGCGTTGTTGAATCTCAAATAATTTTCAATCAAAACCGCCTAAATCAGTGTTATAAATTAAAAACCATGCCAAAAGGTCACTGTAGGCAGACCCGTCTTTCGCAGTGGGCACTTTGGGCAAGTGCCCAGGGCCCCGCGATCGATAAGGGGCACTCAGATGAAATACAAAGTCCCTAGTTCCTGTTAAAACACCAAACGGTAGTCACAGGGGCCCCATTATCCTAATATGCCTAGGGCCTCCAATAGGTCAAAGACGGCACTGACTGTAGGTATGTCATTCAGTTTTATACAGCTCCTTTAAATTTTAATTTAATGTAATTATACCGTTTTGTTCGCCACCTCCTTATTTAATAAGATGTTAAAGTACAATATCACTTAACAATAGTAGTTACTGACTACTGTAGAACATCTCCTGTGCAATGCTATGTTCAGTTATCGTATGAAAAGGTCAGTTTATATCAGTTGAATTTTTGTCAAATCACTCATAATATAAATCATACAAAACTGACCTTTTCACATAGTTACTTGACCTTAGAGGAAACACAGATTTCCATAGAGGTATAAGAATAGAGTGGGGAAGGCAGCTCTAAAAGTGTCCGTCTAGTAGAAAGAGAAAGAAGATGAGAGACCGCTAGCCATCTCTCTCTCTTGTGACGCATGCGCAGTCGTCTGTCCAATAGTTGGTCCAAGCAAGCATCACATCGAAATACTACGATGCTTACGGTTGGCAATACACGATTAAAGAGAGAAAGCTAGCGGTCTCTCATCTTCTTTCTCTTTCTATTAGAGGGACACTTCCACTTGTAGTAGAGTCTATATCTTCCCTACTCTATTCTTATACCTCTATGCAGATTTCACATATCATTTTACAACGAAATGTCAAATTTACACAATCGATAATGAATCATATAAATTGCAATATAAAAGTTCCTAATCAGTTGATGAAATTTTACAGTTTTGTATATTTAGACGTGTGGCTGTACAATGAGAAAATGTACATAAAATTAGTCACAGTTGCAAAGTCAGATACATCTACTCATATATTGCGATCGATTTAAATGTTAAATTATTTTATTAACAAAAAAACCGAGCACAATATATTTATATTACAGAAAATTCTATGACCTACAAATTTTTAATATGTAGTGTTGCATGACAACGTCTCAAACATTATGAGTTATTCATACGCTAATTAAATTCCTACTTGGGTCCTTATGGGGCAGTTTTATTATTCATAAGATTATCAAATAATCCTTCTACGAGTGTTTTAATTAAAAAAAAAACAAATTTAACCAATTATTCGAGGACACACTAGTTCCATTTGGTTCAAATCGTAATTCACGTTTTATTTTGGGCCTCGGCTATTTTGATTAAAGATA